ACCCTGGCTTCATGGACAAGGCCCTGTGAATGAGGTGCCATTTTCAAGTTCACAAACAAAAATGAAAGTGAGATTAAAAACATTAAAAAGAAAGGTAGTTTCACGTGATTTAACAATTCAAGGCAACTCAGTTCTCTAAAGGGTTAATAGTGATGAGAAAAAGAAAGGAGTGGAAACAGTGCAGAGAATCAGACCAAACTGGAAGCAGACAAAGGCAGCCAGAACTATCTTATTTATTATAAAGATACACCGTGAAGAACAGACCTGACTGTATACTGAAGCCTGGAATGGTACATGCTAAAATGTACAGTACTATACATAAAAGTGCATTGTCACAACAGATTAACATTTTTTTTTTCCCTTCCAGAACTAGAAAAGCATCCCCCTTCACTTTCACCTCGGAGACGAGGAAATGTCATGGTAAGAGCAGTACAGAGCCGAGGAGGACAGGATGGCCATCAGCAGCACGTGAGCAGGAGGGGAGCGGGTGAGGTGTCGGGGCCCCAAGAGTGGCTGTAGGGAGGGAAAGGCACAGTCACGGCTAAGAGGAAAACGATGTCTGATGACCATGACCTGACCGTGACGGATGAGGATGCAAGACTGGACAATACTGAGCACCGAGGCATAGAAAGGTGGGCGTGGCGAAGAAGCTGGGAGAGAGTGGAGTTAAGTTTCAAAACACTCAAGTGGGCGGAGGAATTGGGTGTGGGGGGGAGAAGTGTGTGGGGCAACAGCAAAGAGCAAGGCTAAGACTCCTCTAAAATAGAAAGGCACTTTCACATGTACATACGACAGATGTACATTGACACGATTAGGTAACAGTCACAAGCAGGAAGCCACCAGTACTGCAACTGATCAGACCAACAGGAAAGGACAATACTGATTTAATTACGTGGGCAGGAGTTAACTCTTAAGTCAGTAGGTAAATAGCAGTCTCTCCTGTCACACAGCCACTTACTATACTTTAAACGTCTAATAACCATCACACTATACATTGAACTTGGATGAATGTTCTAAAGGGGGACATTCACAAATGCACGGTTTATATATTTTCTTTTACTAAACAGTTTCTAAGATAAGCGTTATGGAACCCAGTACAATTATTTAAACATACAAAATTCCCTACGTAATTTTAAGATACAGGTACCATTTCGATTATAATACAGACTCTGTTTTTTGTTTTTTTTTTTAAAGAAAGTATACTTGGGTGCGTAAGTGAAAGCTCAATTTCCAGTTTGTTTTATTGATTTGAACAAAGCTGTGCCAAAGTCACCCTGCTCCACGCCTGACACCCCAGCCCAGCTGGAGGTTGGCTTTCAGCTCAGGTGCTAGCCTCCACTAGGGAGCTCTGTGGGAAGAGTCTTCACTTCTAAGCTGCCCCACAGTTCTAAGTCTCTATGGGAGGTAACTCAGAGCCAAGACAGCCCCCAGTGCATTTCCTGCATTCATGGCCTCTCATTACTGTGGTCAGGAATGACATCCCAAATCTGAAGTCTTCCAAACCCAACAGAACCATAGGCTCTTTAACTTTGGATTTCAGAGACTGTAATTACCAAACTAAAGTTTCTTTAGTTTATAGACCCTAGAGGCTATGTCTCATTCCCAAATACTAGAGAGACCTCCATGTCCCTGTTTTTTTTTCCCCCTTTTTCTTGATTAAATTATGAACCCATTTTTGGGAATGGTAAAAGTACAAAGACAGAAAACTCATACCATTTGTCCCTTGGTGCTCTATATTCATTGATCACTGCTTATATTCATTTCAGTAGATTAAGTGGGACCCTGCTGTACAATATTCTATGGATTGCTCAAGGGGCATCAAAGTCAGATTACATTGTGTGAAAATGTGCAAAATTGTTAAACAATGGCATTTATGCCCAACTTGAACATGGAGCTCTACAAAGGGCCATTCAACAACTTGAAATAATTTATAGAACACTCATCAGAAAGTATGTTTTAAGAACCGTTCACTCTGTGCTAATGCTTCACTGCAAGCATCCTCACCCAAACCCAAAGGCCAATTTGGTAAATCTACTTAAGTGAGTTCTATGGATGGGATGTGAACATTCAGTTATATTAGCTGTGAGTATATATTCTTGTGTAAGTGGAGTCAGGTAACCTTTGTAGAACTATCATTTACCCGTCACCAAAATGATTCACTTCCCAAACTGCACATGAGGACCTATGATAAGATTCTTAAAAGCGGGGTATAACCTTTTAGGAACTTATTTTCTTTCTTCTCTTCCCATTCCTTGTGCCTTCCCACTTCCCCACTGTGGGCTACACCTGTGGCTGCCAAGAGGCCCACTTGCAGGTAAACCCTTGAAGGAACTCACTGGGTGTTATTTTTGATCCTTTGTGAAGGGGCCACCTTGTCTTATCCTTGGAATCTTAGACTTTGACTTAACAAAGGAAGGATAAGTGAGTCCTTATTGAGTCCTTACTCACTCTGAGGTCACATCCTTTCCTGGGAATTGAAGGGAAAAAAAAGCCTCAGGCGACAACAGAGTAATAGAGAAAGACAGAGACAGGTGAAGAAGGAAGTGATGGGAGAGTGTTAGGAGCTGTTTCCTGGAAGAAGGCACAGCCTCTGAGGTCTGGAGCAGCATGTCCTCTGCCTTCCAAGGCAGCGGAGTCCTGGTGTGGAGGGTGGAAAGGCAGTCCTCATTCCATCACAGGTGTCAACGCCAAAGGGACGAGACACTGGGGAAGGTTACCAGGGAGAAGTCTGAAGAAATGGCGTTGCACGAGTAAGATCTGGAACACTAAGTTAAAGCTTGTACAGGAACCATCCCCAAATGAGTAAGTTCAAAACATCTCTTTTCTTTTGATGCCCTCTGTTAACATCTTACTCTTCCATCAAATAAGGAAGTGGTTTTTAAGAATCTTCTTTATTTTAATTTCTAAAAGATTTAAAGTCTCCTCTACCATTACTTCCACCCCTTTCTCTGTTTCTGTTTCCCTATTGGACAACAGAGAATGAAGAGACCAAAGTGGAATCGAGAAAGAACTGGGAGATTATCTTGAAAGTTTCAATGTTCCAGACATTTGGGAAGATTGTCCAGAAGGGTTGGTGCTACTCAGAGCTCAGTCCTGGCTGGGCTTCCATGGTGTCCAAAGGTGCTGAAAGACTCATAAAGCTCAAGAAAAAGGTTGGGAGGGTTGCACAAGATGCTGAGCTGGGCCTCTTTATCAAAATGGGTGAAAAGTATGGTTGCAAAAATTCAGAGGTTTACAACACCTGGAAATACCTGAAGTAATTTTTTTCACTATTTAGTCCATTTGTGAAATCAGGCTGTGGGCAAGCAACCAGCAGTGTGACTTTCAAAGGTAACAGTATCTCATAAATGAAACCTCTCTTTGCATTAGAATGATCAGACTGGCAAACTGAGGTAGAGATCAAAGTAACGATCTTGATTTTAGTACAGATCCCCATTTTTTTCCCACACTGATGCATTCCCCATTGAGCTGAGAAATCAAAGCCCATACTGTAACTCTTAGGTGGGCATGCGATTGGCTGCCAGTTTGAAGTCAAAGTGGTCCAGAGGGATTAGTTCTGGCTATCCATTTTTAGGGGGAAAAAACCCCAAAGCAAACAAGCAAACCCTCTTCATCAGTAAGTTCAATGATAGAGTTGATAAAATGCTTACAGATGGATAAGTGGCTGCTGATAGAACAGCGGTGATCTGTACCATAGGAAAAAACAAACTGGGTTCAAGGTATTCTTTTTAAGATAGAGGGAAACAGAACATAAATATGGGCTAAAGAAAAACTGTCTATGGGTGACGATGTCAGAGAAAGAGGATCCCGATGGAACGGAGCTGACCATGTGAATGATGTAGAGACCAGTTGGGGAAAAAACCAAGCCAGCCCTGGTTCCAGGCTGAGCAACTGGAAGGAGACCATCCTGGAACCACAGGGTCGTCTTCCCGCCTGGGCCTGGCTCTTAGCAGACCACAGCTCGAAGAGACAGATGGCGAGGGGAGCTGGGGATTCAATTTAGGATCAACAGGTCTCTGCAGCATGTTTAGGGGAGCCCAGACCCTCCAGTCAGGGGAAGAGAAGGCCCGGTGAACCAAGCACTTTCTCCACTGCTGAAGAGGAAAACACAGGGCTTCACGGGAGCTGTAAGTTACTTTCTAGGCAACAGATCTCTGAAGGAGTGGATGGAATAGGGTAACCAGAAAGTCTTGAAAATTAGACGGTTCTGGTCTGTGTTGAATGCAGCGGATGGACTTGGAAACCGTCCCGGGGCCTGATCAGGCTCAGGGAGACAGTCCCGCAGGAGCTCTGGGGGACTGCCCCCCTCTCCTCTCCCAGATGTAGTTGGCGCAGTAACTGCAGAGGGTCTAGCGCCCCCTGCTAAGATTTAACCTGGGCCCAGGGAAACAACTGTTAGGAAAAAGACAATCATCCTACTCGTTCGGGCAGTGTGCTGCAAATCCCACTGGGAACAGCCCACTGTGACAACAGCAAGTATGCAGCAAGGGCTGGTCTCAGCCCCGTGGCATGAGATCAGAGGTACTCACTGTCAGCTACTAAAAAGTCCCATCGTCACCTTTCAGCCTCACCCCAAGTGCCACCGACCAACAGCGGTTTCACTCCAGGGCCTGGCACTGCAGACTCTCCTGCCTTGAGACGCTGGCCTTTCTGACTCACCGGGCTTCTCTAAGCCTGAAGCACTGTGCAATGTGCAGGGCAGAGCGGTGCTGTCTTCATTACAAACGGTGCAGCATTGGATTTTCAAGTAAGTCTAAGTGTTTCTATTGTCTTTAAAATGGCATATGTCCAGTTATTAAAAAAAAAAAAAAAGAAATTACAAAATACAAATGCCCGTGTTAATTTAGCTAATCTCAGACATTACATTCCAGAACATAGAAAAGCCAAAAGATCTCCAGTTATAAGCACGTGACTAACGCAAGTTATGGATCGTTGACTTTTGTCACTAATCCGTCTTCTCTTTTTAATCATCACCCCAGACGACCACGCTCTGGTGCGTGTTACATTGTGCAGGACTTGTCTGCTGGACCTTGGGAAGGCGGGGCGGGTCCCACGGTCGGGTTTGTTTTTGGAAGGACAGCAGGTTTCGGCCGCAGGGCTGGGGGCTTCAGCTGCACGCCCATTCTGGGTGCCACCGCAGGCTTGAAAGTACTCAGCGTGTCACTGGAGGAGCTAGTGCTCCGACGAATCTGAGGCTCTGAGCTCCTGAGGGCGACGCTGTGCAAAGGGCTGAGCGATTCAGTGGAGGCGGCGGGGGTGGGAGAGTTCTTCACTTGCTCTAAGGTATCCAGCACCACGTCGGGGGCATGCTTTGCCGTACTCTGTCTTTCCAGCTCTCGGAGTTCGTTCAAAGCAGTGTTCATCGTCTCTTCGATATCCTGTTGAAAAACAAATGACAGATGGTAACCTAGACTTCTCATGGGGATCATTTTGAAATGTATAGAAATGTGGAATCACTAGATCGTGTTATCCCTAGAGAAGGAAATGGCAACCCACTCCAGTATTCTTGCCTGGAAAATCCCATGGACAGAGGAACCTGGTGGGGGCTACAGTCCACGGGGTCGCAAAGAGTCGGCCATGACTGAGCACATCAGCACAGATCATGTTATAGGAGTTAGCGTTGCAGGTCAAGTATACTTCAAAAACAAACTCAGAGAGAAAAGAGTCAGATTTGTGGTTTCCAGAGGCGGGGGGTTGGGGGGCAGAGGGGGGTTTGGGACAACTGGATGAAGGCAGTTGAAAGAAATGAACTTCCAGTTATAAGATGAATAAGTACTATGGACGCAATGTACAACATGATAAATATAATTGATACTGTTGTAGGTTATATATGACAGTAGTTAAGGGACTAAATGCTAATGGTTCTCATCATAAGGAAACTTGCTTTTTTTTTTTCTGTTTCTTTAATTTTACATCTCTATGAGATGATGGATGCTCACTAAACCCACTGTGCTAATCACTTTATAATGTGTATAAGTCAAATCGGTATGCTACACACCTTAAACTTATGTACAGTATTATGTGTCAATAACTCAATAATTCACTGGGAAAAAAGTAATCAGAGACAGATGAAGCTGATAATTAATACTAATGTACAGAACCCATCTTGTTGTTGTTGTTGTTGTTGTTCAGTTGCTAAGTTGTGTCTGGCTCTTTGGAACCTCATGGACTGTAGCATGATAGGCTCCTCTGTCCTCCACTGTCCATACATGACTACTGGAAAAACCATAGCTTTGATTATATGGACCTTTGTCAGCAAAGTATTCTCTATCTAGGTTTGTCATAGCTTTCCTTCCAAGGAGCAAGCATTTTTAAATTTCATGGCTACAGTCACTGTCTGCAGTGATTTTGGAGCCCAAGAAAATAAAGTCTGTCACAGTTTCCATTGTTTCCCCATCTATGTGCATGAAGGGATGGAGCCAGACACCATGATCTTAGTTTTCTGAATGCTGAGTTTTAAGCCAGCATTTTCACTCTCCTCTTTCACCCTTATCAAGGGGCTCTTTAGTTCCTCTTCACTCTCTGCCATAGAGTGATATCATATGCATATGTGAGGTTGTTGATATTTCTCCTGGCAATCTTGATTCCAGCCTGTGAATCACCCAGCCCAGCGTTTCGCATGACGTACTCTTCATGTAAATTACATAAGCAGGGTGACAAAATAGAGCTTTGTCATACTCCTTTCCCAATTTTGAACTAGTCTGTTGTTCCATGTCCAGTTTTAACTGTTGGTTCTTGACCTGCATACAGGTTTCTCAAGAGACAGGTCAGGTGGTCTGGTATTTCCATCTCTTCAAGAATTTTTCACAGTTTGTTGTGATCCACACAAAGGCTTTAGCATAGTCAATGAAGCAGAAGTAAATGTTTTTCTGGAATTTCCTTGCTTTCTCCATGATCCAATAAATGTTGGCAATTTGATCTCTGGTTCCTCTGGCTTTTCCAAATCCAGCTTGTACGTATGGAATTTCTCAGTTCACATACTGCTGAAATCTACCTTGAAGGATTTTGAGCATTACCTTGCTAGAATGTGAAATGAGCGCAACTGTATAGCAGTGTGGATATTCTTTGGCATTGCCCTTCTTTGGGATTGGAATGAAAATTGACCTTTCCAGTCCTGTGGCCACTGCTGTGTTTTCCAAATTTGCTGGCATATTGAGTGCAACACTTTAACAGCATCATCTTTTAGTTTGAAATAGCTTAGCTGGAATTCCATAACCTCTACTACCTTTATTTGTAGTAATGCTTCCTAAGTCCCACTTGACTTCAGGATGTCTGGCTCTAGGTGAGTGACCACACCATCATGGTTATCTGGGTTGTGAAGATCTTTTTTGTACAGTTCTTCTATGTATTCTTGCCACCTCTTCTTAATCTTTTCTGTTTCTGTTAGGTCCTTACCATTTCTGTCCTTTATTGTGGCCATCCTTGCATGAATGTTCCCTTTATCTCCAATTTTCTTGATCTCTAGTCTTTCTTTCCCATTCTATTGTTTTCCCCTATTTCTTTGCATTGTTCGTTTAAGAAGGCTTTCTTATCTCTTCTATTCCCTGGAACTCTGCATTGAGTTGGGTGTATCTTTCCCTCTCTCCTTTGCCTTATGCTTCTCTTCTTTCCTCAGTTCTTTGGAAAGTCTCCTCAGGCAACCACTTTGCCTTCTGGCATTTCTTTTTCTTGGGGATGGTTTTGGTCACTGCCTTCTGTACAACGTTACGAGCCTCCGTCCGTAGTTCCTCAGGCACTCTGTCTACTAGGTCTAATCCCTTTAATCTGTCACTTCGGGATTTGATTTAGGTCATATCTGAGTGGTCTAGTGGTTTTCCCTACTTTCTTCATTTTAAGCCTCACAGAAACTCGCATACTTCAAAGCAAGCAGACTAGCAAAAAGCATGACTGTTTTAACAGCCGTGTGTAATGTGTGTAAACTCAATGCTGTTTCACATAACTACTGTGACTCTGAAGGTGCAGAAGACGGAGGAAACGGCTGCAATGGCTCATGGAGCCACAGAGCAAGCACTAGCCATTCTGGCACTTGGCGGTCTTCTGGGGGTTTTGACCTTACATGCTAACATCTTGTATAGAATTCTCTTTCAATCTATGGTAAAAGGTGTCTTAAATTTAGACCAGCAATTTCTTAAGAAAAGTGAATAGGCATGAAAAATCAGGTTTTTTTTTTTTCATTCATTCAACGAATAATTTTTGAGCACTTATTATATACTTGGCTAACTCCTAGCAGTTCTTCAGAATTCACTTCAAGCCTTCCCTGATGCTTCTGTTCAGTAGGTCTCAAAGGCAGTGGTATTGCTCCATAGAGAGCATTTCTGTAATGTGGTGTGTCGTGTATTTTTAAATGTCAAAATAACTGGATAGCATTTAGTGAGCAGAGGTATTGGATATCTGGCAAGTATCTTGGATAATTTACATGCAATGAATTGCCCCAGATCTTGTTCAACTTTTTAATATCCTCCAGACATTTATGTAGGTGAAATTTTTTTTATAATAATCTGAGTCTAGAACTTAACTCTTTCTTATATATAAACACAAAATATTTTTTTTATAGTGTTAAGTTTTCTAAGAATGAAACCATCATGTAAATTATACTCTGCTTTGATGAGAACTGCATGACCACTAGTGGTAAAGAACCCGCCTGCCAATACAGTAGATGGAAGAGTCACACGTTCAATCCCTGAGTAGGGAAGATCCCCTGGAGGAGCGCAGGGCAACCCACTTCAGTATTCTTGCTGGAGAAACCCATGGACAGAGGCGACTGGCAGGCTACATTCCATGGGGTCGCCAAGAGTTGGGATACAACTGAAGCGACTTAGCATGTTTGACAGAGGGTGGCCCACCACTTTAAAAAATCATATCATTCACGGGAACACCATTATGGAAACTGAGTTGAGACTAGTTAACCTAATACTCATTTCAATGTACATTAAAAATTTTTTTTTATTCATTTACATATGGCTGTTCTGGGTCTTCATTGCTACTTGAGCTTTTCTCTATTCGTGGTGTGCGGCTTCTCGTTGCAGTGGCTTGTCGTGTCGTGGGGCACAGGCTCACGAGCACGCAGGCTTCAGTAGTTGTAGCGCGTGGGCTCACTAACTGCAGCGGGCAGGCTCTGGAGCACTGGTTCAATAGAAGTGGTGCACAGGCTAAGTCGTTCCACAGCATGTGCGATCTTCTTGGATCAGGGATCAAACCCATGTCTCTGCACTGGCAGGCAGATTCTTTACTACTGAGCCACCAAGAAGCCCCTCAATGTTCATTTTTAATTGTATTTATGGTAGTCTACAGGTAAGTGAAAGCATCTCACTATTTCATTTGTCTTCTAGTGTGCATGTGTGCTAAAGTCGCTTCAGTCGTGTCTGACCCCATGGACTGTAGCCCACCAGGCTCCTCTGTCCATGGGATTCTCCAGGCAAGAATACTGGAGTGGGTTGCCATGCCCTCCTCCAGGGGATCTTCCTGACCCAGGGACTGAACCTGTATCTCTCATATCTTTTGCACTGGCAGGTGGGTTCTCTACCACTAGCACCACCTGGGAAGCCCATCTTCTAGTTTAATCAATAACTGACATTTGTTTTAATATTTCTATTTTTCCTTTTTTATTGTATTTAGGGCTTTATATGTTTTTTAAAAAATTAGGCATATCATCTATCCATTTATTTCAGAAAATAAAGGGGAAATTACAAAGTATTTGTAAAAAGGTAAGCGTATACCAATGTGCACCACTGCCAGAGGAATGGGTAAATGAAATGTGCTGTATATGTACAAGGGACTGTTACTGGGCCTTAAAAAGGATGCCACAATATGGATACATCTTGAAGGTATTAAATGGGATAAGCCAGTCACAAAAAAGACAAACACTGCATGACTCCACTTCTATGAGGCAGTCAAATTCACAGAAGGAAAAAAAAAGAACAGTGGTGGCTAGGGCCTGGGCGGTGGGGAGGGGAAAATAGGCATTGTTCTCAAATGGGTACAGAGTTTGTTTTGCAGGATGAAGAAGTTCTGGAGATCTGTTACCAGCCAGGCGAACACTTTACTGACCTGTACACTTAGAAGAGGTCAGGGCGAGAACCCAGCGTGTGGTAGGAGGCTAGTGAAGGCTGGCTGGGGACAGAGGTGTTGATGGCTGTGGGGCTCGCTCACTCTGCTATAGGGCAGAAACCAACACAGCACTGCAAAGCAACTAAATTCCAAAGAAAAGTTAAGAGGATCTGTTTTGCATCGTTTACTCACACACACACACACACACACACATGAGTATTGTGTGAGGTAGGCAGAGAGCCATTGCACTAGTGAGATTGAAATGCCTCTTCTCTACGTTTTCAGGACTTCCACTCACCTCGAGCATTAGCTTGTGGCTCTGGAGAGCAGGAATTGATTTCCACACCCACCTCCCCCGCTGATTTACAAGTACCTTCATGCAGCGGCTGACCACTGATTTAACTGTCTATGACGTCTATCATGGACGCTGCCATACAGAAATGCTCAATGAAGACTTGCTAAGTGAATAAGCAAAGATCCAGTGATCACATAAGGGTAAGTCGCATTTTTAAAAAAAGCTCTATCAGGGGTTCCACTCATTTACTGAAAGAATTCGCGTGTTTTTGGTATGAATACCATGATGGCAGGCTCACTTATCCTCATGGGAAAATCTGAAGATGAGAGATGGAAAGATAAATAAAGGATACAGCTGGAAGCCATTTTGTGAGGATGACATCACTTTACAAGTGATTATTTTCATATGTGATTTCCATTTGATGCTAAATATATGGATTTGTTTTTTTTTTTTTTTACAAGTATTAGCCCCAGAGAAAACATGCAGAGCCTGGTTTATCTGTTGAGTTTTTGCTTTTATGATTTACAGTTAAAGGATTTCCTGGTTCCAGAAGCAAAAGGGTTAAAGTAGAACTTATTATGCCTTTCCACTACTAAGCTCCTAATTCCCTGTCTCTCTAACCTAAATACTGTTTCATATGCTTTTTATAAGCAATGATGTTATGGATTTTTCAAATCATTAAATTCAATTATAGTCAAATATCACTGGTTCTAAATACACCTCAAAGGACTCTGCATTGCCTTTAAAATAGACAGAAACCCAAAAAGGTCAAAAGCCTTTTTGATTTTTGCTGAAAAATTATTGTGCGCTTAAAATTGGATTAATTTTGTAAAAACACATTAAACTCTCCACGTAATCTAATTGCTTTCCAAAATTCTTTTTAGTTAGGACAATGAAAATAGCTTGGAAATTTGTCATATCAAAATGCAGGTTTCCTGGAGTGCTCTTTATTAAAAATGACCCATCTTTAATTTTTCCGCATGTTTGTTTCATTAATTTCTCACTCACTTTTTTAAGCTTCAGTGGTAGCTAGAAGACAATTTAAGATTACTCAAATGGCAAACCCTGAATCTCTTTCACCTCCTTTTTCACTGGCCATACACACGTTTTCTTTTCTTTTTTTTCATTGAAGTATACTTGATTTACAATATTGTGTTAGTTTCAGATGTACAGGATAGTGATTGTTTTTTTTTTTTTCTGTCATACATATATTTTCTGATGGTTTGTACTTTAAAAAGAGCCAGAGGAAAAAAATGGTAGAATGATGGGAAAATCCATTAATATTATTTTACTTACACTTTGTCAATTCCAATCATTAAAAAAAAACTACAAAGCCCTTCTCTGCTTGGGAAGTGAAGATTCACGTGCATTCAGGACTGACACAGTAGCTAGACTTGTTGTTCTTCAAACAGCCAACCATTATTTTTCACTTCCTTTATTGCCTAATCCTTCATTTCCTCAGTTGAAAGTGTCACCTTCATCAGACACTAAGAATGTTCTGTTTCAGGATTCTCCATTCTGTTCCCTTGATTTGTCTGTTTTACTAGCTCAAGCATACGTTCAAGATCTGGGAGGGCTTGGCTTTCCTCATTCTTATTTTCTGAATCTTTCTGGCCATTTAGGAGTGATGGGCTTGACGGTCCTGGGTCTTACATTTCTGCCATGTCTCTGTTACATCACTATGAATCCAATACATTGAGCTGGCCAAAAAGTTTGTTCTGATATTATGGAAAAACTAGAATGAACTTTTTGGCCAACCCAGTATTTGGGCCCTTCTTGTAACAAATGGCCTCAGAGAATGGGCTAATTTCTGTTTTCTTTAGTTGGTTCTATACAAAAGATATGGCTCTAGAAAGTAACTCCTATAATGTCTCCTCCATCATACGCTGGTACTTAGCATGCAGTACCCTCTTCAAAGCAGCCTACCTGAGCGATTGTCTCTGGGTCCAGCGGCTTGTGGTCGTTGAAGCCCGAGTACTGCCCTGACGATGTGGACCTTCTAATAGGGGGGCTGTCAATCTTCTTGAGGGAGTCGTGGCGGCTGATGTTGGTCAGGCTGCCGTGGCCCGGCCGACGCCTCCGCTCAGGACTGTCGTTGTTGAGGCCACGGTTCTGCAGCAGGCCCCGGGGATGACTGCCCAGGCTTGGGGACCCCAGGTCAATTGAGGAGTTGGAAAGACCATGTGGGGGGTGGAGGGGGCAATGGCCATCACTGGTCCTGCCAGGACGCCTTGCCGGAGGGGGTGGCTCTCCCCTTTTTCTTTGTCTAGACAGAGAGAATAGCAGAGGTCGTCACACTGGGTAATTCTGCAAAGCTGTGGACGCCACAGCTCTTCAGAACCCCTGGAGAAGCAGAGGCTTGGGAGTCCACCTACCTGGCTAAATAGCCATCAGGATGTCGGTCTGTAGGGGAGTTCATGTCCTTGGATGAAGACTTGTCTTCAGTTACCGGCCCGCTGCTGGCCTCGCTGTCGGCTTTCTGGCTCAGAGTGTCTGAAAACGTATCATCCCTGAGACAGTGAGAATCAAGAGTGAAGGTCTTTTGCTTGATGAATGGGGACAAAAGAATAAGTGATTGCATTTATGTATGTAAGTCTTTCTCTTACTAACATAACTTGTTTCTTTTCACTATAAATATAGCATCATTTCATGGCAGGTAAATTGGAAAATTCAGATGACAAATCACCCATAATATAACATCCAGAGACAACCACTGTTTGAATTTTAGAAAATATCTTTCTCTGCTTTTCTCCTCTGCCTGACATACCTATCTATAAGAATGTCCACATGTATCTATAGTAGTATTTACTATAGATATTTATATGTGTACTTTAGGACTGTATGTCTGCATAACACACACATAATATTTCTTGGATTCAGAGAGCCATTTTAACAGTTTAAAATTAGGCTGAATCAATCACTGTATCCATTTATGTGTTTTTTTTCTCTCTTCCTTGAAAAACTGTTCATAAATTGGTGCTGCATTGTGAAATACCATAGTCACAAAATTAAGACTATACTGTACATGTTATTTTTTAACTTGTTTATTTCACTTAATACTAAGACCAGATGGGAAGATACCACTTTAAGTATTTTTGAAAGTAGAGCTTTCTCATAAGCAAAATTAAAAAAGAAGCCTGGAGATGATTCTCTTTAGACCTGAAGTCAGTAGCCTCCCTTTGGGGAATTTGGAATTAAAACAGACACCAAGGGAAGAGGAACCACTGTTTTAGGAATTAGCAGTGCCACTTCAGCTCCTACAACTATCCTCTGTACAGGGTATTTTTCTAAGAGCCTGAAGGCTTCAGAAGGCATCTCTCACTAGTCCTTGCTCCAGACCTGCTGGGAGAGCATGGGTCCTTGCTAACAGGACTTCCCGGCCAACGGGTTTTCATTTTCCATCAGCAAGGTGAAGAACTGAGCCCAGCTCAGAAGTTTTTGCTCTGTAATCCCTTCTTTTCTCACAAGACCAAGGTAAGGACAATGTAAGAACAACAACTCGAGTCTCCTCGGGAGCACTCGGGTGATGGAAGCCGGCGCTACTCACATATCTTGGACCACTATGTACTGGTGGGGTACCAGCCCATCAATCCCGTTGTGCCTTCCTTCCCACCAGTCCTCCGACGCGCGGTGATACAGCAGGAGGGAAGCACCCTTCTTGAAGGACAATTCTCTGGCAGACCGCCCAACATAGTCAAACTTGGCTATCGCTTCTATTGGCTCACATTCTACAAAGAACACACCAGAAAACAGTGTGGGGCAGGCTTGTCAGGAAGGCGTGATACACCCACTGAAAGGTCTATACAAGGCTTTGGAAAGAAACAAGGTCATTTTAATAACCAGACAGAACAAGGTAATAAATCAAGACAATGGTAAAATCATGCTGTTAAAAGGGATAAAGAAAAACATTCTCTTTCTGTCATCAGTTTCTCAGGCAAAGAAAAATTGAAAATTAGATCTTAATTTCTATAGCCTTGTACTAGAGAGATCATGACAGCCTAATATTTAAAACTTTGTAATATATAAAATTTCCTTGGGTTTTAATGTTCCCTGCAATAGCTCCAATATTACTTTGACATTGATGGAGTTCCCAGGCAACATGTTAATACTATTTATAACATATAAGACTCACTATTCCAGAACACCAAGAAGTTTATGTGTTATTTGCCTATTTTAAAACAAGTTTACAGATATCACCCCATTAAATATTGTTTGAATGCGTTTAATTTCACTAGGTATTTTTGGGCAGTATCAAATCTTACCACCAAGCATAAAGACAGCTTTATTTTTTCTAGTTATCAAAACCAAATTCTGGATATCACCTGTGAAACAAGAATACCTACTCAAGAGACCAGATTCAAAAATATCTTCTAGGATCAAAAGGTACTGAAGGGAATAATGGTGAGTGAGAAAAAGCCAACCTCAAAAAGTTACATGTTGCACAAGGCCATTCACATGACATACCTGAAATGAGCTAATAACTGAGATGGGATTAGTGATCGCCAGAGGCTAGGGTGGGGGGACAGGATGGAAGGAAATGGCTTTGGCTGTGAAAGGGTAGCACAAAGGGGTCCCCATGACGCAACTGTTCTTGATTTTGACAGTGGTCACACAAATCTATTTGTGTGATAAAACTGTGTAGAAGTAAGTAACCAACACAGGTGAGAGCATGTAAAACTGGTGAAATGTGAATATGGTGGATGATGGAGTGTGTCAGTGTCCTTGCGACAGTAACAACAGTGATATAAGATGTGACTACTGGGGGGAAACGGGGAGGGGGGTGGTGTCTGGCATCTCTCTGTAGCGTTTCTTACAGCTGCATATGAATCTACCGTGATCTCAAAATCAAAAGTTGAAGAGAGATATCAAACTCAGCCTAGAGTTGGAATTTCAGCTCTATTTTAAGTCTGACCACAAATACTGAAGGCAAATAAGAGGACAAACCACTCAAAACCACCACAAGAGTTGCTTTTTGTGATTCAGGTTACTGCAAAAAGCCCAGAACTGTTAGTTCTGTGGTCTTTCCTCTCCTCTCCCACCATCACCCCATCCTTATCCCTGCTACCAAAAACAGGTGAATCAACTTCTAATCAATAAGAAACAGAACTAAAAAGGGTCAATACAAGTAGTATTATGCTTAGAGAACTCTATGCAGTAAGCAACCTCATTTGTTAAAAACTGAACATGTATGCTGTTACTTTAGAAATGCTTTAGAATATATGTACACATAATAGATTAAAAACTGTCAAATATTTTGTCAGGAACTTATTATCTTCTACTTCCCTTGGTAACAAACCTTTTCATTTAAAAGTTAATCTCTTCCCAAGGTTTAATGCAGTATCTTCAGTATCTGTTGTACTTACATGAAATAACTACAAATGAAATCTCTGGATAACCAGCTAAGCTTCTTTCTTACTTGAAAAAGTGCAAACATTCTCTGGGACAGCATGAACATAAAAATCAACAAACATATTGAAAAAGCTTAGGATTTATCTTCCATGAAGGACCGGGGTGAATTTCTGCTATATATTTAAAATAAAGAGAAAAAAAGTTCCATCCTTTGCTAGTAGATAAGTAGATCCTTAAGTAAATAATAATTCATATGAAAGAATCAAACACTATAATCTGTACATGGTATACTTCTCAACAAGGTAGGTATAAAAATAATTTTAAAACAATAGTTTAAGTTCTTTAACAACTGACAATAACTTTTAGATCATATGTTAACACTCCATTATTCCATCCTAAAAATATTTTAATATAAATAATTTTATTAAATATCCACAAGTCTGCTCACAGAGGAGGAAAGAGAACTCTTTATTCAAGGGGACTGACTTTATACTTTGTTCTAAACTTGCACATAAAAAGAAAACCCTGCTTGAACCGAGATGGCTGATACCAAATTTTTTTACCCCAGGTCTCCCTGAGGGACAGAAATAAACATGTCTGTGGTGTAAGGGACACAAGCATTCATGGAGGAATGCAGGCATGCCAATTGATTAAAAAGAGCTTCATGATATGCAGTCTGCAAATTCTTATGTGATACACCCATATGTTTAAACTGTTTTACTGAAAAAATGGAAATCTAATAGCATAACAGAGTATACAACCCATGTACCTGTCAAAGGGAAGAGAGAGCTATTCATGTTCTTTAATGCCATTCGACCATATACTGTCATCACTGGCCAAGGGCCATTTAAGACTGTTTAATAGATATATACATATTTTATCATAATTTCATCATCATGCCCTCTATGCTCATTACTTCTTTCTTTTTTGAAACACCTAGCAGCAAGATGATCAGACTTTGCTTATTTAGTTCATAGGCACAGACATTATGAAAGAATGACCAGATGAATCAGAAGTATACTTCATTTGTGCTTTTACTACATCAACTAGTAATTCTGAGCAATTTCATTATTTTGACTTCTTTCTACTCCCATGAGAGAAATTTCACAGTCAAGTGTCAATCAATAAGCTATTTATACACGTCTCAGTCTAGTCATTGCAGAGCAAATCGATCTCAGGGCATGGCGGTGCACCACACGCCTTTCATGTAGGGTCACACAGCCCTTTAAAGTCCTGTAGAGGCTGAGTACAATGCTACTGCTACCAATAACAACAACGAGGGTGAACGTGATAACTTCATTTTCTTACATGGCAAGAGAAGGAACATTCAACAGAACTGATTTTCTGACTGCCTGGTGCTATCAAGTCTTATATTTCCATTTTTTGTAATTTTATACAAAGTGCTAGTATATCATGCTATCCCTTTGGGACCTTGCTGTCCCTGACACTTTCTCTCCTACATCTGTTACCCCTGCCCTTGCGGATGATGATTTTGTTCTGTGACAGCCTCTCTTTTGGAAACAAAAGTTACTCTTTTCAGTGATACCATGACAGAAGGAAGAAAATGCAATACCTGACTTAATAAAGTCAGGGTGATCAAAGAGACAGATCAATACTCTGGTTAATTTAGTTAAAGGACTTTAGAATCTGACTGCAGGAAAGAATATCTGTTCTTTGTAAGCAATGTTTTTCTCTCCAGCACTATCAGGTGAACAAGATCAAAATGTTATCTCAAATACAGCGCTCTCAGCAAAGCTTCTCTTTTGTAGCCAAGAGGTAAGAACAGGTGAGAACGACTGACATGGTACAGAGGTGAGACTGAGGTTTGGGAAGAGAGGTGGCTGGGGCTCCGTCTCGTGGGCTTTTCCTGCCACTGGGACAAGCAAGGAGACACTTAGAAAAGTCACCAGTGAAAAAGGAATGAATTATAGAGAAACGAGAAGCTCAAGACAAAAGAAAGGAGAGAAGAATGGCAGAGGGTGGGCTCAGAGACTTTCAAAAGCAATCCCACAGAAATAGAAGCTCTCACTTTAAAGAATTTCTTCCAACTTAAGTTTCTGAAAATGTCTTTTTTGTTGTTTGTTTTAAAGCAGAGGGTGGACCCTAGACACCTTGATAACCTTCCTGCTGAAATCAACTAAAAATGCTGCATTAAAAAAAAAAAAACTTTGTGATTGCATTAATCATGACAGTGAGGAATACTAAACTTGAATGAAAGAACCTGCGGAGGTGAACAGAACACCAGGATTGTGAACACTAGAATATGCAAGTCAGAGCTTGTCTTGAGGGCATTTTCCCCGGCCTGGTTACCTTAAGCTTTATTTTAAACAAAAGACTAGGTCCAGGGGCTGCCCAGCATGGAGACTCTAAGCCCCACCAAAGTATCGAACTCTGTGTCACAGTGGATTTCTAGTTCTGAAATTCTCCTGCCACACTTCTCCACAGATGTAACCACTCTGACCTTGAATTTAAGGAAAAAAAATCTATCTCAAGGCTTGGGAAAAAACAAAAACAAAAAAACCCCACCTCAGAATCCCAACCACATTCCAGCCCTCAGGCAGGTTTGCATTTTAAGTTGATACCACCTGGGTGGCCTGAAAAACCTCAAACTAAAAATCTATTGTGGTTCCAAGCTGGTTATGCCCCAGGCAGAAGTAATGAAAACCCTCTCTGGAGGGACATACCTTTACCTCAACGTAAATGAATTCCATAAAGTTCTAAGAGATACATAAAAAATATATAAAACACATTGGAAATAAGACTCAGATGAGCAAAAGCCAACAAAAACAAATCCAGGAAGACTTCAGCTTTTTAGAATAATTAGACACATAACCTAAAACAATAGAAAGGATTAGTATTATGAGTAAAGAGCAAATGACCAAGCAGATATGAAAGTGAACTGAACTTGGGAGAAAAAAAAATCAAAAATAAAACTGAATAAGTTTAAAGCAGGTTAGTCATAGTTAAAGAAGGAATAAAAGGATTATGCATATAGCTAAAGAGGTACTAAGAAAAAACTGACAGCTTTATATGTTCATATTAAAAATGTCAAAAAGTAATGTTAAACATTAAACTTAAGAAGTTAGAGAAAAAAATGATTCCTACAGAGAAACATATAAAAGTTTATTGGGTGACATTAAGTAACAAGAAAGATGTTTGTGGACTGTATATCATAAAAATATAAATTCTTTCCATATTAATATATGTAGAATCAGTGCAACTGCAATCTAAATTTCAACAGGTTTTTAGATTTTCCTTGTTTCTTTCTAAGAACTTGAAAAACTGAATTTGAAATTTAAGTGAAGTTGCAAAAGGCCAAGAATTGTTAAGAGGAACAAAGTCAGAGGTCTTGATTTGACAAATATTGAGATTTATTAAAAGGTAACAAAATGAAGACAGCAGTGTAGGGATAAACAAGTAGACCCATGGAAAAGAACAGAGACCAGAAACGGACTCACACAGAGAGGACACTTGATTTATGATAAAGGTGTGGGGCAGTAGAGAAAGGATAATTAAGGCTGGGACAGTGGGGACAGCTGTGCATCCATAAGGAGAAAAAAGGAACAGATCCCTACCTCACACCATACCTCCAAAGGAATTCCTGGTAGAATTAAGCCCTATTTGTGAAAAACAAAACCTGAAAGGATTTAAAAGAGACTATAGAAGAACTCCTACATTAACTTAAGGCACAGAAGGATAAGGATTTCTTAAAGGAGACACAAAGTGAAACAACCATGAAGGAAAAGATGGGTAAATTCAGTTCCTTTAAAGTTAAGATCCTCTGTTTGGCAAAAAACATAATAGGCACATGAAAGGCTACAGAGCAGAAAATATTTGCAAAGCATATACTCAATAAAGGACTTGATCCAGCCTCATAAACTTTTACAAGGAAAAACCAAAGCCAAACCAAACTAAACAGTGGGCAAATAGGCCCTAAGCTGGCAAAACATTTGATAGGAATTTTGCAAAAATAAACATACAAAAATTAGTGTATCTGTATTAACCATGTTTTTCATTTTCTACAGTATGATCTCTGGGGCTTTGCTCCCCCTGGAGGGACTGTCCCTTCCAGGGTTAGCAAATTCCTAGTAAACAACTCACCTGGAATGTGCTTTTCAAATGCAAATCAACCAATCCAGAGCCCCATACTCCAGCCACTTCCTCTCTGGGGCTCCCATACCTTAGGCCACTATCCCCGTGCCCCAAACACTTCATGGCCAGGTACCAACCAGAGACAGCCAGAGCCCTCTGAAATTATTCAAAGTAGGGAATCCTAACGCTGCTTAGCCTGCCTTGCCTGTTCCTTCGTGGAAACCACAATAAAAACTCTTGGCCAGGTGTTCTCCTGCCCGTCTGACCCCTGTGCTTTCCCTGGCCCCCTGAGGTGTGACGTGAACCCTCCTCTTAGGAACTGTGAGCAACAGATTATCTTTTCCATGGCGATCATCTCCCCATCTGTTGGCCTTACCATACCCTCTTTACCCTTATCATACCGTAAGTTTTCTATTAATAGACTATGTTTTAAAACATCATCAGTAAGCAGAGAAATGCACATTAAAATCACAGTGAGATACCATTACCCACTTGACAGTATTGGCAAAGACTTACAATATTTGATATAAACTCAAGTGTGGATGACTGCATACCACTGAAAGGCTGAGATGCTGTTGGTGGGAGTGGGTAGCCCTACAAGCATTTTCTTATTTTTTGGCTGCTTCTTCCGTTAGGTGGGATCTTAGTTCCCTGACCAGGGATGGAGCACATGCCTCCTGAAGTGGAAGCATGGGCTCTTAACCACTGGACTGCCAGGGAAGCCCCCTTACAACCATTTTCAAAAATAGTTGGGCAGTATGCAGCAAGATTGGAGACATGCTTACTCCTAGGTGTGTGTATCTGAGAGAAACTCCTGTCCACCTGTACCAGGTTCAAAATATTCACACCTGGACTGTTCTTAATGGCAAAAAAACCCAGAAAACACCTCATGTATTCACCAATAATAAAAAAAAATATAATGGAATACTATACAGTGGTAAATAAATTATTCTAACTGCATGCAATGATGGGGATGAATTTCAGGAATATAATACTGCGTAGAAAACAATGAAAATATATATAGTATGATTCCATCTATAAAACGTTCAAGAAAACAGAAAATGAAACAATAATCCATTGAAAAGCACAAACACACAGCTTACCTTAAGGGGTATGGAAGACAATGGGTTCAGGACAGTGAAAAGGTAATGGTACTTTTTCTTAAATCTGGTGGTCCTGCAGTATTACTCTTTGTAGTTTACACATATTTAGAATATATATTATTTTGTATCTACTAAATTCTTAATATAAGCAATTCTTGGTATATGCGCTGCCAAAGCGAGTACAATATAAGTAATTCTTTAAAAATGGTTATAAAAATGGCTATAAAGACTAGTTTAATAATAGCACAAGCACAAGTGCATACCGTCTTCACTGGTGTGCGGCTCTGTACCCGCGTCCTGATCCACTTCCTCCAGCGTACCGTGCTCACTGTATGGGCTGTCGCTGAGGAGCAGAAGCAGAAATCGTATGAGGCCAAAGTGAATTTCAAAACTGAACAACCGCTACTATGAGGAAAAACACAGAATGGCAGAGGAGTTCCTGGATAGCATTTCGGTGAGATGCTGGAGCCTCCAGGATTGTGCAATCCTATGGGAGTCTATGTCCCTTCATCTTTGACATACTACAACTCTGTAAAGACAAAACTGACGTGTAGGAAACTGACAGTATTACAAATGATTCTTATGTATAAAAATGAACATTTGTTGAATTCTAGTGGAATATGATTATCACTCTTTGGATACACCAATGTTTGCAAATTCATTTCAATATCCACTACTGCATAAAAATGGATGGCTCTTTGATTTCTACTTTGAATTGGTTGTAGTTATCTTCTTCAACTTTTTTTGACCATGTTCATTTTTATATCTGAGAGTTAGATTCTATCATTTAACATTAGCACTACTACTTCTCAAATGTATGCTGATAAATGGAATGCACTGGTTACAAATACAAACCTGACATTGTTGTAAAAGCCCATTTATATTGCTGGCACTGGGGGATGAGGATGATTACTATAATATTGACTTTCTGTTTAAAACAAGCGATATCTATAGAGAATACCATGTGTGGGAGAAGACATAAGCAAGCACATGTTACTGACTCTAAGACTCTTTACTATGGGGATTTTATCCTGTTTGTACAAAAGGAGCAACCACAAAAAGTCCTAGAATACAACACATTAAATAATATCGACCAGACATCCATATATTTGCTCTCTGATAAAGTGAATAAGACAGTACAACTTACTGATAGAGCACTGAATATTTGTAAATATTAAACATGACTGACACTGGCCTTGAAACAAATACAACTAGGAAAATAAAATTCTGAATTCTGAAAATAAAATTCTGAAAAACTCACCAGGGCTGAGTTTTATTCATTTATCTTTCCAGAGCCAAGCTTATGTGAGTACGTGCATGTAGTAAATATTTTAAAAATATGTAGCCCTGGTGGGCTACAGTCCATGGGGTTGCAGAGAGTCAGACATAACCGAGCAACTCACACACACACAGAATCTATCATGCTTTGTTGTTAATTTAGAAAGCAGTACTTCTGGAAATGGTCAACTCTGAATTTTCTTACGGCATAAGATCATTTGTGGTTTAAATTATACTGTGGTTTAAGTTTAAAAAAAAATGTACTTTCAGTTATTTAGATTTTTCAGCTACTTGTTCTCCTTAATCCCCAGTAAGGCAATGGGAAACAAAGCCTCCTGCAGAGTCCAGAATGAAGGGCTTAGGCAAATCTATTTCCAGCTGCTGCTGAATCTCAGCTGCACAGGGCCGTTTTCTAGGGAGGCTGGGAGGCAGCTGCTGAGTGGGAAGACTCGTGTGGACTTAGGAATCAGACAGACTTGAGCTGCCTCCAGAAACCACTAGTCATTGGCCTGGCTCCTTGGCCTCGCTTAACTTACTTGGTGGAGTAGGAATAAGAGAGATCACATGCACTGGGAAGCTGGCACACAGGAGGACCTCAACGAATTAAAACCAGTTTTACTGTATGTGATTTCTTAGAAGCTGGAACTCATATATCAAATAGTGAACATAAACATTTTGGGGTTTCCTTATCTTTGGATGATACATTTTTACCCTTCATTGGGAGGTGACTATACTGTCTTATTAAAAAATTTTTATCCCAACAATATAATAATGTAATAACTTTGTTCAAAGTGACCATGACTTGTGTAATTGATTAGGACAATATTAGTAAGAATGAAAATGAAAGAAAGAATGAAAACACATTTAGTTGATAGCTGCTCCTTTAAAATGAAACTTTTGAAATACTTTCCACAGAATCAAAACTATTTAGGAATGAAAATGAAGTCTGTTAATTCAGTTATCTTTTCTTGATATAACAGTAAAAATGTATACAGCTCTCTACTTAAAAACCATTCTCTACAAAAGTCATGATGGGGTAGGTGTATCTAAAAAGATGCAGTATTTAGGGAAAAGAGAAATGAACACGAATTTCCATAAGAAGAAGTCAGTGCTGTCATAGGATTTAATATTCTAATTTATCTCAAGTGTTCCTGCTGCTTCTTTTTTTAAATTGGAAGCACTGGCATCTTATAGTCAATTCTTTTTTTTTTTAAATTAAGTTGATATCTGTACTACTATAATTTTTTCCAGGAGGAGAAGCAAGGACTAAAATTCTTGGACTTACCAATACTCGTCTCCAGCCATACATTTCTCATAAACAGGGCCATCCAGCTCTTTAGCATCTGGGAAAATAGTCTCATGGTGGATGATGATGGTTTTGACAATCTCATTCACATGAGCCTGGCAGGACACTTGATCCTGTATCTCTGGGACAGGCATCAATGTGGGGCCAAAACAGATGGCCAGGTTATAAGGGTCCATCATGTTTTCATCACTGTACTGTGAAAGACTACGAAAGAAAGCAAGACAGGAGTTATAAAAGAACAAGGGGAAAAAAGAAAATGCTTAATAGGATACTTCCTATTCTGAAAATGAGTTTTCTTATTAGAATAAAATACTTTATCCTACTTTAAGGTGGCTCAGCAAATTCCAAAGAAAGTAAAGCAACTTATAACCTTTTCACTAGGTAGACATGGAAAGAGGAATATAAATCCTGTTTGCTTACTTAAGTGGCATTTTTTTGAAAGTCACAAGGGAGTTTAAGATAATCTCTAATACAATGGAGACCAGGATCAAGTAAGAGAGTTTCATTTGCAAACAGTATGATCATCTTTAAAACTGTCCTCCAACTAACCAAACACATTTCAGATTTCAGTTTTTCCCATAAATCTTGAGGGGAGTCCTGAGAAAAACAAAAGCACCCTTTCTTTGTACCCCACTGAAAGAAAGAAAGCAACTCCAGGCTTTGTAATTTGCTTTTGGGCAAGATGATCAATACAAGGTGACAGCTGGTGTCGCAAAAGACAATTACAAGTGCAAGTGAAGGGGAGAAAGAATCCTCAATTCTCACTTTCCATTTAAAGCTGGTAAACTACAAACTTTGGGGGAGATTTCTAGTTGTCTAGTACTAATTTTAAAATTCAATTCAACGGCTGTTGGTGAGATAGTTTCCACAGGGGACGGAAAATAAGAAATTCTTTATGCTACGCCTCTAACACACGGGCAAGGTGCTGTTCCAGGGAGAATCTAGAGAATCTATCTTTCAGTGTATAGAATGTCAGCCTTGAAAGGAAATGTAAAATCCAGGTGAACTGATGACAAACGGAAGGAGAGAAAAAGAGACTCCGCTACATTTGTGAGATGTTGACAGACACAAAGAAACTGAGATCCCGTGTGACAAGATACTTTACCCCGTTTTGGAAATAAGATAGCCGAGAAAGTAGAAAATACAAAAGGGTAATTCTCACAGGCAACATATGTCTTTCCTTTCTGCCATTTCTCAAACATAAAGTCTTAAAACAGTTCACAAATAACAGCCAATGATCATATTACAGATCACCTTCAACATGAATGCAGGAAGGAAAAGTGAGATTCAGAATAAGAATGATCTCATGTTCAAAAAACACACTTCAGCTCAACGGGGAGAGTCAGTCTTTCTGGGTTTTTAGTGCTGGTTTGAAGAGCAAACAGCTGATAGAAAAATTTTGATTTTACAATGGAAAGAGAATAGCTTCTTTCTCATTCCAAAATTCCCACGTATCCTACCCCAGAGACTGGGCCTGGCCTCTGCACGAAGGCAGGTGCAGGAACCAGGGGGCATCTCTGGGCAGAAATGCCGGAAGCAATGCTGATGTCTGGCTCACGGCCTGGCTGCGAGCCTGTTGAGCTCCACCGTCAGTTAGAGTCACACTTTTAGAGCTTTCTTGACTTGTGGTCAGTTTGTTTCCCGAGTCCATTGTGGCTGATTGGTTCACAGTGGGTTTCACTCAGGCGTGTCAAGAATATTTGGTACGGACATCATGGAGAGGGCCAGCAGGAATGCGAGGTGGTCCATGTTGGGGAAGGAGAGGCACGTGCAATTCAAGGTGAAGATGGCAAACCTTCAGATTTTTACAACTACGTGGGTGACGAGGCTTATTTAAAGATAAAAGTTTATGGTATCATTTAACCTAAAATAGTTTACACCCTTCTCTCTTGGTACTGCTTATTTCGGGGTGACTTCTGTACCGTGTCATCTGTAGATGCTTTAGCTCCATTCTGTATGGGTCCCCTGCCAGCATTTCCCTGTTGTAGGATACTTGGCTTTGGGGCTGGGGAAGTGTGGTCAATCTGAATGGTATGATTTCAGGAAGAGTCAGCAGGGGTGTAATAAATCCCCATGGCTTTTAAGAACTTAAAACACTTCTGGTGAAACAGAAGAAAAAATTTTCTAACTTTAAGAAGGGAGAGCTCATGCTTGAGTGAGAAAGCATTTCCTGAAGTTTACTCCCACCTGAATTTTCTTATTAAGAAAAAAATGCTTACTTGAAATGTTAAAGAGCAAGGGGACTCAGATAGAACAGGGGAAGATGTTCTTATCATGGAGCCCATGTACCTACAAGTAACACAACTGAAATCAAGTTCCCTAAATTAAGAGAGTCAAGTTTCCTTGAAAATAATGTAGTGATTTTTAAGATTTCTGTGACAGTGTTTTAAAGATTGCTTTAGAAATATCATCTTTTTGACAAGGTCTCATTACACTCAATTTGCAGACAATTCTTTTTTGGATCTGTGTACAAGTCTCACCTACAATTCCCTTCCTTCCCTGACTATAACATTAAAAATCGCAGAAATTTTCTGCTGTGAGCAGATGGTTTACATCATTTTGACAAAAACATTTATGACACTGGCTTTGGATGGAAGTTGGAAAACACTTCCACATATTTCACTGAAAAGTGTTCTTTTTAGCAATACTTGTGCATTTTTGCATTTCTGGCCACAGTTTCTACATCTGGTGATGAGGTTTATGTAGGTCATCGTGTGACCTTATAAGGTAGGTGACACGTGATGACTTTGATCTGCTGAGGGAAAATGCACCTTCAGTCTCTATTCAAGCATCTTCTCTTTGACTCTGCTAATAAAAGGAACCCAATGTACATTTTACAGAATCCGAGAACGAAGAATTCAGAGCAGTACACAGGGAATTAAAACGAGCATTTTGGCAAAGCTGTGGTACTTACTGATTGAGGAAGGCAAAGAGGTACCTCATCACTATAAGGACCGACCTGGGCAAGGTCAGGAGCAGTTTGCGGATGTGAAGCGCCCTCTCATAGAGATTATCTATTCCTACAGACAGAAGAGGACGTGGTTAGGATCCTTTCACCAGCCACATTTAAAGCAGAACACTGTAGTACCCCTATTCAGTACATATCTGAACATGAGCAACACTTTGCCCTTTGTGAGATGCAGTCATAACCAACAAAGCACATCAGTGAGAGATCTGCTTGGGTGTACGCGAGGACCTCTCTTCTGACTCATCACTGTTTTCTCTGACTTCCGCGGGCTTGGCTTTGAGCAGCTTAGAGTCTTCTAAATTTAAAAATCGTTTTTCACTTGTTGCTGTTTCCACATTTTGCATCCGATATGGTTTAAACTCCTTTTTGCTGCACGTTAACTAAGGTAACTTTTTGGGATAGGATACCTCTCCCTTTCCATGACTCATTAATTCTTCATATATGTATTTGTTAATTACTGTGACTCAAGAGTCTCAGCAGGATCAAAGGATCAATAATCAAGTCATCAACATTTCTACCTAATTCAGTCTCGAGAGTCCCAGGGCAATTGGTTTGTCTTTCATGACAACTTCATGGGACACTTGGAAAACCCACACTATACAGAGAGGGAAGATGGAATACCTAGAGATGATTTGCAGGGCATTGAGAATTCGGTGTGGTGAATTTTGCATCTATAAATGCAAAAGGAACCACATTTAATATAGTGTTGATCTTTAATGTTTGTCCAATTCCATAGGGGGCCTATCATCTTTAGGCGAGAAGAATATACAGGTATTACTTCCAAGAAGCTTCATCTTAATTCAAGATCCTCTTGCTTTTAATTTCTGAGTTCTAAATTCAATTCCCTACTTCTTAAGGGCACTTTCAAAATTTTTATTTAAAAAGAATTGGAACAGGTATTTACATATTAATTTCACAGCAACATTATGCATAACAGCCAATAGGTAGAAATGTCCATTGGTAGATGGGTGGATAAACAAAATGTGGTATATATATATACACAATGAAATATTATTCAGCCTTGTAAAGGAAGGGAATTCTAATACATGCTACAAAAGGATGAACCTTGAAGACCCTATGCTAAGTGAAATAAGTCAGACACAAAAAGCCATACACAAATATTGTATAATTCCACTTATATGAGGTATCTAGAGTAGTCCATTTCACAGAGATAGGAAGTAGAATGGTGATTGTCAGAGCTGGAGGGAGGAATGGGGAGTTACTGTTTAATGGGCAGAGTTTCAGTACAGCATGAAAAAGAGTTCTGGAGACAAATGGTGGCAATAGCTGCAAAACAATGTGAATGTACTTAATGCCATTGAATTGTACATTTAAAAAAGATTAAAACGGTCAATTTTATGTCTATTTTACTGCAATAAAAAAAAGAATGGGGCAGGGAGTGTCCTGTGAGATGCCAAATAAAGATTGTAGGGGAGAAAAGCAACAGGAATGTAAAAAAGTGACACCAAGAAGACCAGATAAAATTATGTGAGGCCGGCGCTGCCTGCAGCGACACTGAACATAAACCAAAGCAGAAGAGAGTGGCTGGCACTCCTGGAATAGAGCAAATGGATGTGTCCCAAAGGCCAGACCACGATGGCTGTGAGCAGGACTCAGATATTAGCTGGTTGGCAGCATGCATCCTACAAGAGTCTTGCTAGGGTACAAATGGCTCATTTACTCTCCAGATCCAGTTAGACATCAAAATTTATGTTTGCTATGGACACTCTGATTAATGTGCATTCCTAGCTGGCTCTGAGTGTGGCAACTCATAATCTTTCAGAATTTTATCCTGCATGAAAAGACGAGGGTGTGTGTGCTCAATTGTGTCCAACTCTTCGTGAACCCCATGGACTGTAGTCTGCCAGGCTCCTCTGTCCACTGAACTTTCCAGGCAAGAATATTGGAGCAAGTTGCCATTTCCTACGTCAGGAGATCTCCCCAACCCAGGGAATAAGCCTGGGTCTCTCGTTCCCTGCACTGGCAGGTGTAGCACCTGGAAGCCAGGAGGAGAGTGTTAGATAGCATCGCTGACTCACTGGACATGAATCTGAGCAAACTCCAAGACAGTGGGGGCCAGAGGAGCCTGGCATGCTGCAGTCCATGGGGTCACAAAGAATCAGACATGACTTAGCAAGTGAACAACCCAAACATTAAAAGATGGCTCTTTTCCTGAGACAAATTGTCAGTGAGGAAGATCATATTTCACCTGGATTTCTTTTATGCTGGGCTTCTTTTTCAAAATTCAGCCTCTCATGTAATTAGGTAAAAGTGGGATTTGCCCAATCTCAGTCACAGGCTCAGAGCTCCCTTGGCTAATTTATGTTCCTTCCCTAGCACCGCAAGGTTCTCATGTCAGCATACCAACTTCACAGCATGGAGGTTTGACAGCTCCATGTAAACGTGTGTGAAAAATTCACCACCACCGAGAAGTGAATTCAGAAAACGGCAAAAAGTTCACATGGCCATTCCTCTGAAAATATCAGCTATTCTGTGGCACTGTTTGTCGAGGTGTTTGTCAGAAAACAAATAAGAAAACATAAGATTCACATTTATCGTTAAGGGGGAAGAGAGGGAAGGAAAGTCCTCGGTGGCCACATGTAGAAACGGCTTATGTGAGAGCAGGCAAGTATTTCTGAACTGCATAGCCCAACAAGCAATAATCAAGGGGAATTTAAAGGCACTGGTGCCAATGCAGGAGACTTAAGAGATGAGGGTTTGATCACTCATCTGAGGGTTGGGAAGATCCCCTAGAGGAGGAAATGGTAACCCACTCCAGTACTCTTGCCTAGAGAATCCCACTTACAGAGGAGCCTGGTGGGCTACAGTCCATGGGGTCACAAAGATTTAGACACGACTGAAGCGACTTATCATAGCACGCAGGGTATTTTTAGGTTCAGTTTTAGGTTTTAATAATGTCAAAGTATCAATCAGTTGTGTGTGTAATAGTATATGTGTGCGAATGAAAAGGAAAGAGAAAAAGAGACCTTTTAATATATTGAATAAATCTTAGCCCTGAGATGATTTACAAGCTGTTCTTCTAGGTAAGAAATGAACTGCTTGTAAATCTTTCTAATTAACCATTAATAGATTTACGATATATTTAGGTAAATACACAGAGATATGAAGTAGATTAGTGGTTGTCTAGGGTTGAGGGTGATGGTGGCTATGAGTGTTTGCTAACTGGGGTTTCTTTCTGGAGTTCTATGAATTAAACCATTGAGTTCTTTCCTAGTTAACAAGCAACATTATAAATATGTAAATAATGTCTCTCCTTCTGCTGAATTATCAAATAGAAATTAGTAAAGAAACTAAGTCTTAGCCTAAGGAGCCTTACCTGTTTCAATACTAAGCCTACTAATAATTTTTGCAGAGAAAAGGAATCTTTGAGAAAATCATTGTAAGGCAGCAAACAGAAATTTTGAACTCAGAGAGAAAACTACTGTGTATGGCAATAAAGCTGGAAGAATTTTTAGCAACAAAAACATACATTGGAACACCAGGAAAAGAGTTCAAAAGCTTTTTCCATAAAACCATCAGATATAGGAAACAGATTTATATACCAAGAGGATCATCATGGTATTTTTGTATAACTGAAAAATCACTTTTGGAAACAATCTAAATTTCTAAAACTAGGGAATTTGTTAAATAGAATAAAAACCATTATATGGACACTAAAAACTATATTTTGAAAAATAACTTAGTGATGTGAGAAAGTGTTAATAACATTAAATTTAAAAAGTAGTTTATAAAGAGAAAATATGGTATGATAATTTTTAATAACAGATTTATTGAGATATAATTCATGTATTTGAAGTATACAATTTGATGGTTTTTAGTACATTTGGAGTTGAGCAACCACGACTTCAGTCCATTATAGAACATTTTCATCACCTCTAAAAGAAATCTTATCTCCACTAGCAGTCATTTGGCATGATACAGCATTTTTATTAAAATCAAAAGTACGTAGTTATGGTATATCCACATAATGGAATATTATTTGGCAATTTAAAACAAGTACTGACATACGCTACAACATGGATGTACCTTAAAGACATGCTAAATGAATTAAGCCCATCAAAAAAGACTATATGTTGTATAATTTCATTTATATGAAATAGAATAGGTAAATACACAGAGATACGAAGTAGATTAGTGGTTGTCTAGGGCTAAGGGTGATGGTGGTTATGAGTGTTTGCTAACTGGGGTTTCTTTTTGGAGTCATGACAATGTTCTAAAATTGATTTTGGTGATTTTCCTAATCCTGTGAATATACTAAAACCCACTGATTTGTACATGCTAATGGATAAATTGTATGGTATGAGAATTGTCTCTCAATAAGCTGCTTTAAAAATACATAGGAAATGGTGCTATTTGCGGAGACATGAGCGGACCTAAAGACCGTCATACAAAATGAAGTGAGAAAAACAATATTGTATATTAAGGCATATATGTGGAATCTATAAAGGTGGTGCAGGTGAAGCTATCTGCAAAGCAGAAATAGAGACACAGATTAGAGAACAAAAGCATGGACGCCAAGCGGGGAGGAGGGGATGAGACGGGCTGGGAGAATAGGACCCACACACACTGCTAGGTATGAGAGAGAGAACCAATGAGAACTACTGCTTAGCTCAGGGAACTCCACCCAGCACCCTCTGATGGCCTAAAGGTGAAGAGTCCAAAAAAAGAGGGGATGCACGTCCACGTGTGGCTGATCTGCTTTGTCGTCCAGCAGAAAACACCACGACGCTGTAAAGAACGACGCGTGCATGTGTGCTCAGGAGTCTCTGATTCTCTGCAGCTCTTTTGGGTTGCAGCCTGCCAGGCTCCTCGGTCCATGGGACTCTCCAGGCAGGAATACTGGAGTGGGTTGCCATTGCTTCCTCCAGGGGAACTTCCCGACCCAGGGATAGAACTCACGTGGCTTGCATCTCCTGCACTGCAGGCAGATTCTTTACCACTGAGCTATTTTGGGAAAGCCTCAAAGCAATATTCCAATAAAAAATCTTTAAAGAAATACATAGGTGTATATATATGATATATCTGAGAAAATATTAAAAAGGTGAGTATTATCTTTGTGCACAAGAATTCCAGATTTGTTTGACTCATTTTCTAATTTTTCTATAGTAATCACATGTTAGTTGCATATAAAACAATTATTTTTAAAGAGCAGTGATTGGCTATTGGAAGATTTTAAGGAATTATTTTTTTAAGGTATGAAAATGGTTTTGTGGCTATGTTGTATAAAAAGCGAAGCATCATCTCCCAGAGATACACACACCCAGATGAAACGATCTTATGTCAGAGGGATGATACAAAAGCAATGTATGTGGGCAAATCTGGCTAACACATGAAAACTGTTAAAGCAAGCAATTATATTATTTATATGTAAATATATCTTTATGCATCCTCTTGTAGACATTTGAAATTTTCTACAATAAATAAGTCAAAAAGAAGGTAGGTTACAAATGGGACAGTATAGTTCCACTTCGGCTTTTTAAAAACAGTGCATGTGCATATGACTATACACAAGGATCAGAATGTGTACACACACACCACTGATTCTCTTTGGGTAGTGGCATTATGGGAGAAGTATTCTATATGCTTTTTAAATATGTTTTCTATAATGACTAAATGTTGCTTTTGTTGTTGTTCAGTTGCTAAGTCATTCTGACTCTTTGTGACCCCATGGACTGCAGCACACCAGGCTTCCCTGTCCTTCACTATCTTCTGGAAGCTGCTCAAACTCATGTTTGAGGCGATGATGCCATCTAACCGTCCTATCCTCTGTCGCCCATAGGTAAAAAAAATCCACCCTCCTAAAACAAGATGTTTCCTTTTGTAAAACCAGTCCCCTAAATAACAGCACATATCCAAGTACAGATGCTTCTTCTGGGCTCACAGCCCCAAAGCAGCCAGGAAAGCCATGAATTGCTTGAGCAGCTCTACTAGAGCAAGTCACTTGGATCTCTGCCCTAGGGAACCTCAGAGCCATAGGACACGGACATTCCAGAAGCTGCCCAGACTGTGTGGGTATGATGTGGAGCAGTCACAAAACCATTCACAAAGTGGATGGTTGTTTAAAAAAAACAAACAAAAAAACCCTTGGGTGAGAAATGAAGACACTATCGAGTTTATTTCAAATTTAGATTGCCTTTGATGTCTTTATCCAGATAAGTAATTTTTAAAAAGAAACTTGTAGTGAATTAGGGATGAACAGTGCACATTGAAAAAAAGAAAAAGAGAGAGAATGCTAAGACAAATTTTCTTTTACTACATTAGCAAGCTTCCAAAGAATATGGTATTTAGAGGCATATGAATAGCAAAATAACTCACCACACACACATACTCTTTCCTGAAACAATTCAAAAACAGGTAAGCAAAAGGTAGCAGGTGTTCCAGAGACTTATGTAAACTCTTAGAAAAGATGAAAAGGGAAAAATTCTTAGAATAAAAGATGAAAAGGGAAGTTTTTCTATACAAAATATCACATAAAATTACCTTAAGAGAGAAAATCAAATCCAATTAAGGCAATACTAGGAGATGACATGGACAAAAGCAATCGATCTCCGTAAGACCTCTCTCCACTAACAATCCTAAGTCTTTTGTTTCTATCACAAACTTAGACTGAATTTATTTGTAAATAAATATCTTATCTCTTCTAGTATATTTTAAACCTCCTGAATGTAAAAGTCAAGTCTTTGAATCCTGAGAAAGTTTTGCAACATTGTAGGCGATAATCATCAAAAGTCTGTAATATTAATGGAAGGGTATAATAATGAATGACACACCATGTTCAAATAACTTATTGAAAATCCAGGAAAAATACAGGTAGATCATGGTCACACTGGTGAGAGAAAATGCTTGCCTAAAGATAAATCAATAATAACCAGGAATCCCCTTTTAAATAGATTAGATGTTGGAAGAAATGGGGTTGCTATACATGGTGCCATTAAGTGTTTTTGAAAAACATTCCATTCTGCAAAATTATGCACTAAAGATAACAGGACTTATGGGGAAACCACTGCACAACATCTAAGAATCTGTAACTAGAGAACTAACAAAAACACTAACAACACTACTTAAATTACTGGCATTGTCAAATCTACTGGTGTGTGCACCTAGCAACCAGAGCCGTCTTAGTCGCCAGGGGCTCCCACTTCTTGGAGATGTTGGTCCTGTGGCTATTCATTGGCAATCGAGACTATTTTCATACAAATTAGCTCAAGGATTATTAATCCACTTTTCATTAACCCATTGTTTAAATACAGGGGGAAATGTCTTTGCAGCTTCTTTATGTGCCCCTGTAGCATTTCAGGTAAGGCATTCTTTTCAATAAAAGAAAGATATTTCTGTAGATTTTCCATTTTTTTCCTTTATGATCTTCTTATTTTGCTTCACATTTGCTTGTTAAGAAAGCTTGTCTTTGATTGTAACACATTTACTGTGCTGGGAAAAGTCATGCTGGAACCCACACAATGTCTGGGTTAAATTAACATCATTTCTAAATGCTTATGAACTAATTATAGCAAAGAAATACATATTTTGAACAGGTAAGACTGGTAAATGGCTAACACAGGTATTGGCACATGTGACCCGAGTCTGCAGTAGGAATAGCTGTGACAGTTGTCATGATGACAACATATACTGAAGCTCACTGTGTGCCAAGCATGATGCTAGAAACACTTAGTATGGATCGTCTCCTTCGGCTTCACACACACTCTATGAAGTAGATAAAGAAATATATATTTAAAAAGATTAAATATTGATCTCTGCCCAAGGTTACAAAGCTGCTAAGTGGTGAAGCTAGGATTTGAATCTAGATCTTTCTGCCTCCAAGGCTTCAGCTTTTAATAACCACAATGAAATAGTATTTCTCATTCAATGAAAGTGTGATGTGAATCTGCAATAGAAACACAATGCTGCCCAGTCGTCTTTACCCAGCTGGGGCGTGTAAACATACATGTGGATGATCTATGTACGGAGAAAACCACTGAACATTAGAGAGTGCTTATAATTTTTTGCACATATAAACTTTCTGGCTAGGCTGGTGAGGAAAATCTTTGCACATGGCCAAAGGGGAATTCCAGAAGTGTGACAGCTTCTTCTCAGTTCTTTCCAGCTGGGTCAGAAGCTGCTGTGACTCAAGCTACACGAGGGCCATGGAATGGACACACAGGCGCACTTCCGAATTCCACACACGCATCGGACTGTACAGGGTGGGGGTGGAGGTAATTATGATCGGGGAATTCCTACTCAGTGAGATCGAGGACTTTAGGCATGGTTGCCAACAAAATGATTTTGGGGGAGGGGACCTCCCTGGTGGTCTAGTGGTTAAGAATCTGCCTTCCAATGCAGGGGACACTGGTTCGACCCCTGGTCAGGGAATTGAGATCTCACATGCCTCGGAGCAAGAAAGTCAACACACCATAATTAAAGGGTCCGTGTGCGACAACCACAGGGCCCATGTGCTCTGGAGTTCGTGCACCATGACTAGAGGGAGAGAGCCAGGCTTGCAACGAAGAGCCTGCACACTACAGTAAAAGATCCCATGAGCCACAACTAAGACCCGATACAGGCAAAAATATCAACAAACAGGGGGAGTGCTAGTTCAGCACATCCTTCCCTGTGGATGTCAAATGGCCACGAGGGGCAGCAGATACAGCGGCACCAGCAAAGGCACGGAGGTGGGAAATGGTCCAGCACGTCTGCAGACCGCTATCACTGAAATAAAGTCAACTGAGCAGGTGGCAGGAGATGAACGCACAAAACGAGAGAGATCAGATGGAGGAAGGGATTTATACTATGAACGGGCCATACCAAGGAGTCTGTTTTCAGGTGGAAAATAATGAAATAGATTTTAAATGGGTGGGGAGAGGTGGGAGGTGGTGATGGTAATATAAAACTCGATTTGCCCCCCTGAACCTAGGCTTTTGACTCCGTCAGCAAGGTCCACCTTGCTCGCCAGAAAGTTTCTTAACCTCTCCGCACCTCAGTTTCATCATCTATAAAATCAGGAGAACATCAATCCATCAATCATAGGGTTCTGAGAATGAAATGAGCTCATACACGTAAAGTGCCAAGAGGAGTGCCTGGCATGAAGTATGTTAAGGAAAGAGGGCAAAACGGAGGAGTAGGATCTCCCAGTGAGAAACCAAAGCACTGGTGACAGGAAGGGGGAAGGAAGGGTGAGTAGAGAGATTTCTGAGGTCACTTGGACTTGCTGATCCAGGTGGGTAGCGGGGGAGATGGGGGGAGGAGGTTTGTTCATTAGAGTAAAGCTTAATTCTCACAAAAGCCCTCATTGTGTAATTTAAGTTAGTTCAACAGCCTTGCCTGGGAACGTGGACTTAAAGGGACACTGAGTTTATAGACATATGGGATGTGGCTGTGGTTAAATACCTCATTCCCAGTATTATTATTTTCACCTTCTTTCCTGTAGTGTAGTGTCAAGAGCCTCCCACTCCCTGAAGAAAAAGCAATGCTTTGCTCTGCTGATTCTGGGCTTCATAATACATCATACATGCTCCCAGGACCACTCTGCCTAATAGCTGGGGATGCCCACTGACAGATAATTACCACCTACTGTCCCTGCTCTGTAATGATGATCATTTATCTCCTTTTACCTTTTTCCCCTAAGTAACAAAGATGGTGGAAAAGACCAAGAGCCAAAAGCCAAAAACCAGTTAACATTTCCACGCTTACAGCTTCCTCCTCGCCTTCAGTGAGTTGGCACCTGCTTCTCTGCTCCGTCCCAGCTACTAAGTGGGAAGCGCCTGGGCTCTATGGAACCTGGGTAATGTTCAGGGCCAGAGCCCACTCAGCGAAGGGCGAGGCCACAGCTGGGTGGATGGGTCACGCTGGCTCCCAGACATGTGGTCTCAGAAACCTGGTGGTGATGGAGTAATGGTGGGGAGGAGGATACCGGGCTGCTGCCTTTTCCAGGAAATTGGTTCGTCAAATAACTCTGCTGGGGAAAAAATTGAAGGGGGAACAAAAAACATTGCCCACTTACTGACACAAGAAATCAGATCATTAAATCTTTCCTTAGGAAAGAGGGGGTTTTCCAGCCCACGGAAGTAGAGCTTTAGAACGCCAGCAACTGAGTTAATATCACGGTTACTCTGGTCATCAGCCAAAGGGTTTTCACCTGAAAAAAAAAAAAAGCCCAGCAAATTAGTTACATGCACATTGCTTCTCTTTTTATTTCTGAACAAAAATATGTTTCTATACTCACACACATTTCTATATATACACGTATATTTTAATTACATGCTACTAAAAGATTACATGCTACTAAAATTAAAATAATTGGTTTAGATATTCTACCCCATGATTAACCTAAAAACAGTTGGCCAAAATAAAGCTTTTTTATATCATATGCTACCAAATAATCCCTTACAAATTACCTAAAAACTTAAAATAAAATATTGTGGGATTTATAATTGGACCCAACTTTTTTTTTTTAAAGCTAAAATCTGTAATCTTAATTTGACATGAATTCAAATACTATATTCTGTGTCTCGTATCCTACTGGGGAAAAAGAAACAATATAGGTCTGTGTGGCTATGCTATATGGATCAGGAAAATTTATCAGAAATATTATAGGACTCAACTAACTGTGAATACCTACCATTAAATACCATTAAATAAGTGTTTCTCAAAGTGAATGGTGGTGTTCATAACATTTGAAAGTTGACTTCAGCAGTAGGAGATTTTGAAATCAGACAGGAATTGGAAAACGTACCTTTAACAGTACCAAAGAATGTATATAAAAAGTGGGAAATTTATATATCACAAACATGAAATTACACTATTTTTTATGGTGGGTGCTTTTAAAATATTAGGTAACTGACCTGACTAGTCCACGTTCCTGAGAACTAAACTGAAATAAAATTCGTAAGAAGTTCAACATAATGTGCAGCCTTAAATCAAAACTCCATTTTTTATTCATAGGTCTGCTCTTCTAAAGTTCACAAAAATTGTACACTACATTTTAACTTTTCTTTGCCTCTTGGGGCAGTTTATTTTCAGGGACTTGTGGTTCCTTTTTCTCTGCTTCTAGGGCAGGAAATCACTGAACATGAATTCACCAAAAACAATTTTTTTTTGCCCACCATGAGAAACCCTTAACCAAAGAGATCACAAACTAACAACAAATACCAGGGGAATGTCCAAGGAAAAGTAAGAAAACCATTCCTGCCTACAGTGGTTGGCACAGGAACCTGATGCTTTAGTATATTTCAATATATCTCGAATATGGTCCATGTGAGAGACTTGGACACTTAGCTCTTGAGGGGAGACTCCTCTGCTCTATACATCACATCACTCAGAGGGTTTGGAAGAGGAAAAACAATCTGGCTCCAAGTTGACCTCTTCAACCATGGTTTCAAACTTGGCTTTGTACCAAGTCTGAGTCAGGACAAATGGGACCAAGAGAGGTGGCCCTGTCTCCACGCCATGATGTCCCTCCCTCTGCATCCTTGGCTTGACTTTCAGGGCAGGAAGGTGCAGATGTATCCAAAAGTAGACATAAGACAAATCATTTTAATAGGAGAGCATTATGAGCTAAGAGCCACCGCTTAAGAGTTAAGCACTTTCATGCCTTATGCCTATTTCTCACGCCAATCCTAGCATTTTGCAGATGAGGAAACCGAGGCCAAAGTAAGAGATTAATCACTTGACCCATATCACATAATTAGTAAATGCAGAAGTGTGATTTGATTCTAGGTCTGCCTGATACTCATCATAATGTGCTAATGAACAGTTTAGGAGGACTTATTTGACAGTCAATTGGGATAAAAGAATAAGGCACCAACTAAGGTCACGGGAAGGAGTCTGGAGATGGCAATAAGAGGAAGGAGAGTTCCTGACAAAGGAAATAGACACGAAGCTGGGATGAGTCACCTCAAACACCTGCTATGCAGGCCCACAGCTGTTCTTGCCACTTTTCTAGAACCTTTTCATGAGCCACCTTTGACAGCATGCTGAGGATCACCAATGCTGGTCCTAAACCAAGGATACCAAACCCATATGCTTTTCTAGACTTGATAACAAAGCCTTATGATTTTGGCTTCATTTCTCAGCTATTCTAAATAAGATTCTTAATTCAACATCCAAAAAGAAATAAATGCAGAGAAAGGTTTTGAAGACATTTAGGATGAGTATGCCACTTTTCTCTACAGAAAACGACGACTTATTAACAAAGTTTGCTTATAGGTACAGACGTGCAATTACCTCTCTCAAATGAATTTTTAATATCATTGACTTCCACCTGGGAACCAGACACTCTGAAAATCCCCTGATGCTGAAGACCTAAAGAGAACAGAAGGGAAAGAGCATGAGAGATTCCATCACATCCTCCAGGTCCCCTCTTTTCCAACCATTAAGTATTAAAAAGAAAGACACATTTACTGCAAGACTCCTAGTAATTGTTTAGGGTAAGAATACTGCAGTTTAGGGCTTACCATAGAGATTTATGAACCGAATACAGCTTTCCACAATGAGGGGGATGATCTGTCCTGAGTCCTGGGTCAAGAGATGGAAACCAGTTAACAGCAGGGCAGAGGCACAAATCACACATAATACTAAAGCTTATAGCTTAACCCTAATTAAGGAATGCTTTTTATTCTTTTAGATGATCATTTCCAAACACACTCCCTCTAAAATATTCTTCAAGGGCCAAATATAAAATTATATACGACCAAAGGTATATTTCAGTTCTGAGGCAAACCAAATTAAATACGTTGAAGGCAATTCTGTTTCAACTCACTCTGCTATGCCTAAGGATGTCATAGCTAATTCACCTTTTCTACTTGCATGTAGGCTCACATACCAAAATGAATTATGTAAATCACTTATGTTTAAAAAGGTTACTTACACAAGTAATTAATCTAATGGACCTAAAAGAGCTCAGGATATTCTAACCGTAGCATCTTAGGACTGATTGACTGTACTAGTCAACAAACACAATGGTTCAGCCATCTCAGGATCCTCTCTGTAGCACCCCCGAGAGTCAACCATCTAGATGATGACAGTTATAAAGGGTTTATGTGTTTCCAGATGCATAATACGAGAATTGCTTTATAGCTGCTCATAATGTGTCATGTATTTATTTAGTTTGCATCAGATCTGACTCACCCTCTAAAGATTTTTCATTGTTATTTTTTTCGTGTTTTAAGGATGGAGGAAAAAAAAGGCACCAATGTGCACCCCATTAGATCTTGTTTTCTTAGAAGGAACATTTCTTGGCCTTCTTTCTCTACATCTTGTAATCTACTCTACTGAACATCGCACTCTACTGAACAAATGTGAATTCTGCAAATGTATTAAGACATGTATAGGATGACAAATGAGATGAAGGAGCTGCTGAGGTCACAGTTAAGTATGTGTCGATGCCAAGCGCTCCGTGTAGTTAAAGAAGGTTACCGACTATGGAGTTATTTTTCATCTACTCTTTCAGGAACTGGAGCTTTAAAGGAAGTATGAAGGTTTCAAATGATCAGCTGAAATTAGGTACTAATTCATGGGGAATTTTATTCTGCAACACAAGAAGAATTTGGTTGTCTCAATATGTTAGAGTAATTCAGAATCCACTAACCTTTCCAATTAAGAAACAGTGGAAGGAGAGGGAGTAGACTCTAGTCCAGCAATCTAACTTTTTACTGTTCCTAGAATGGGTAATACACTTCTTGAGGGAGAGTTTCATTTTCAGTTTTAAGACAATATAAACAGTGTATAAACCAGTTAATGGCTCAATTTACTTCTGGAGCCTGCATTAAGTTTCTCTAATTAGGCAATTTGTTTCAGGAGTATAAACTTTATTAATTTCTTAAAGAAGGTCCTGAAGAATAAAAATGCTTTTTTAATGTGAACTAGTTGGCTCAAGAATGGCCATATTATTTTATCAAAACTTACTATGAGAGGGGATTTTTCTTTAGGATACAAGTTTGTTTCAGGTGATGTAACCTTTATATGGACAATTCCTATAACACTGTAATCTAGAAGAGCAACAAATATTTAAATGTAAACAATGAAAGGAGACTATTAGTTGGCAACCTGGCTGAACTTAGTATTAAAACAAAAAGGGAAACCAAGAATAAAAGGTTATTAAAAGAAAAATGTTTGCACTAAGAAAGTTCTAAATAGAAATGTCTTAGGTTTTCATATTATTTTAAAAATATTTTCATCTTTACTCAGGTAATTGCTAATCCTTCAGCTATCATTAGTATTTCATTTCATATAATGAATTTTGGAGTCAAGAAATAATGAATGTGCATGTTTTAATTTAATTTCACAGACGCCAGATGCTTTGGTAGAAAGTATTTTACAGGAAGTAAAGCAACGGGCTATGCTCCACTGACGATTCAAACAAATCCCCGTGTGTCTCAGTTTCCCCATGGGAAACAGAGGAAAAATAACTTTTCCCTTGCTGTGTTACAGTGATATTGGGGGGATCTCAACTGACTGAGCACTTTTCAAAAGTGCAGAGATCACCATACCTGCTGTTTCACGGGTAGGACCAAAGATTCTTTAACACTCTATCTGGAACAAAGAGGAGCTTACAGAAGTTAATTTTCCATGCTGAGTGGTTTGCTCCTCCTTTCATGCCTAAATTTGGTTTCCTTTAATTATTCTCAATGAAAAATCTTTCAAAAACATAATATGTGCCTTTCTATGATCTTAAGCAGTCATTCTGAGACTGTGTTATCAAATATAACAGGATCACACATCTACCTCTTCGAGCTGTTCTGTATTCTCTTTCTCTGCCAGGCCATCAGCTGCACATCTCAGCGCTTTCATGCGATCGTTCCCTTCTCTCCATCTAATTTGCCCCTGTTTGTAAGCCCTGGGCTGGGAAACCAGATAATCAAATTTGATAATAATTTTATATTAAATTAGAGCCAATAAGGCTCTTCTGGGTTTAAGGCTAATAGCAACAGACTCGTGATTGCTCTTTAGGTTGTCCAGTGGCTTTCACTCAGTTCCAGGGTTAGGATTCATTTTTAAGGTTGCGGGAGGCTTTAAATTTCTTCATGTATGTACGTTTGTATGTGTCTATCTATCCACATACATGCACACACACATATATTTTGTAATCATTAGTGTACATATTCAATAAAAGATCTGTCTTTAAAGAACGTAAGATACCGGAACATATCATTAAAGGAGGTTACCAATGATGTAGTTTCCTATATAAATTTAGTCTTCAGAAACATTGAATCCTGTGTCGTTCTTCTCTATTTTGTATAATTTATATGATTATACCAATATCCAGTATTAAATGTGCACTTGGTATTTAATATTGACTCTCTTATCAAATATATACAAAATTTGGTATATTTGCCAAATACATAATGTAAAACCTAGGCATTTATCCAGTTTTACTAGAGGACTACTCCCCTTAAAATCAGTGTTTGATTTCTATAATTCTTTTCTAAGTAAAACCTATTTATAAACCGGTCTAATTTCCAACTGCAAACACTTTTCTTTTAAAGACCTTAAAAAATCCAATTAAAGCCAAGCATGACTGTGATTTGAAAATGGTATCAAGAGTGAAAGAGGCTGTGCCCGCGACTTCCCTCGAGCACAGTACCTGATGTCTCGCGTGTGAATTCCTTCGTCCTCGGCTAGAAGCATTATCAGAAATACAGGGTGAAAAAGAAGACAGAGTAAACACAGCAGAGATCCAGATACAGACCACAGGGCCTTACAATTTGTCCAATATAATGAATTCCTCAAGTCATGGGAAATCAAAACGTGCTGTGCTTCAAGCTAGCCTAACAATGGACTTTCAAGATATATTTTGTGCCATCTCATTTGCATGAGCAGAACTAAAGCATTTTACCAGGTAACTCTTTTCCTTTCTGTACAAATTATGGCTTTTTTTTTTTTTTTAAAGAAGAGGGCTTTCTGTTTTGCCAGTATAATAATACCACATTTATTCCCTCTTCTGAAGGCACTCAAACCAAACAGTCTTTCCTTTCTGACTTCAGGAAATATTATATTGATTTTCTGGGAAAGCAAAGAGCCCCAGGACAGACTTGGACATAATGACCTGCCTCCTTTTATGAGAGGCTGAGACCATTATAGTAAGAAGCGTGGAGATCAGCCACCCAGATGGCTGGTGCCAGTACCTTGATGAATGTTTCCAAATCCCCATTAAACAACTTAGCATTATACTGTGAGCGGGGTCTGGACTTCCTGTGTTTCTGGGGCTTAGGGGGAACATTTGGAGGCCTAAGGGAGGGAATATAATTACTGAGCATGGCAGAAATCAAACAACAAATGAAACACCCATAGGTCACATCAAAATTTCAAGACACAGGACTTCTTGTGTTCCTTCCCCACCCCCACTCCCACCCACGGAGGAAAACAGTCCTTTCCCTTTCCCATTTATTTACTTTGACTTATGCATCAAAACCCATACCAGCTATTTAGTCACAGTATTCTTTTCTTGTAACTGACATTTGTTTGTTTTAAAAATGGTAAGCATCACCAAATGAAACTGCAAGCTCTTTGGCCAAGCATTATAAACCAACATCTGTGTTATTCGACTTGTAAGTCACACAAAAGACCCAACATGTCATAAAAATGAAGACTCTGAAAGATCCCAATATGAGAAACTAAATGTAATATTTTTATTTACAACGTAATTCTTCAAGGCAAATAACATTACATCCATTTGATATCCCTCAGGTAGTTAATGGGATTTTATTTTATGTAAAAGAAGCTATTAATGAGTCACAGTGAAAAAGAGAGTTTTTTCAAAGCTACCTCTGGGGGCAGTGGGTCCAGGCTCACATGAATTATTATTTTTTTAAAACAAACTAGTTCACCACCTAACTATCTGGAGAGAATTATGATGCAGCTGTTTATTCTCTTCTGACCTCTCTCCATCCCCAGTCTACTTGCTTTGATGGACAGATCAGTCTCTCTGGCATAGGCACATCCAGGGTACCAAGTACGATACTTAGAAATCATGCATCATCCTGCTTTGTAACTGCAAAGAGGGAAACTTCTGTCCTCTTCCTTTAGAACAAGGAGAATCAGGATCACATGACTCAACTTCTACAACTCTCTTGCAAGGAATACATGGAAGAAGAGACTGAAGACTTTTCTCTGGACATTCCGATTTGAACTCCTTCTTACTTAGAAGGCAGATATGAGGTTACATAGGCTTCCCTGGGGGCTCAGACAGTAAAGAATGTGCCTGCAACGCAGGAGACCTGGTTTCAATCCCTGCATTGAGAAGATCCCCTGGAGAAGGGAATGGCAACCCACTCACTCCAGTATTTTTGCCTGGAGAATTCCACGGACAGAGGAGACTGGTGGGCTACAGTCCATGGTATTGCAAAGAGTCATACACAACTGAGTGACTAACACTTTCACTTTCATGAGGGTACATACCACACTTGGAAATCAGGTAAAGCCCCTTATTAAGCTGCAAACTGTCTAGGAAGAACTTCCTTTTCAGTTCATTAAAGTTCAAAAAGACCAGTTTAAAAACAAAGGCCCAAGAGTTTATGTGGAAGCCTGGCTACCTTCCTAAGATATCACTACAGCAATTGTGACAGCCAGGGGAACAAACTTGCTGATACTGCCTTCCATAGCCAAATTTTAAGACTTTCCAACAGGTGGGCTCAAATAACTGATGGGGTGTACAGTAAGCAATGCCTGAAGCTCCATAGTGCTTGAGAGGCTGAAAGGAGCCTTTGCAAGTGTCTAGAAGCAAATATGGAAAATTCCACCAAGCAGAAAGTGAGTAACTACCATTGCTGAAATTTCTGAAACTTCATTTATACACTGAATTCTGTGCCATTCACTGAAAAAAGGATCTGGTGGGTATAAATAAACAAAACAACTGCCCACCAAGGAATTTAACCATATGTGCTTGACTTCATCCACTCTTTTCCTTATTTTAGAAGTATTTTAAAATGCATAGCTTATTTTTTTTCAACATGGTAAGGCCAACAGATCGGAAGACAACTGTCATTGGAAAGATTGTTTCTCACTCACAGTTCCCAAGAAGTGGGGGCATGCTACTGCGCGGGGGTGAGGGGGACATGGGGAAATATCAGTTAGGAGGAAGAAACAGTGAGGGAAAATGTGAGCCTTTGCTGTGGTTCCCATGGTGAGGAACAGGCAAGGCAGGGTAAGCAGGTTTAGGATTGGCTAGTCCTTGAATGCAAGGAGATCAAACCAGTCTATCCTAAAGGAAATCAACCATGAATATTCACTGGAAGGACTGATGCTGAAGCTCAAGCTCCAATACTTTGGCCACTTGATGCGAAGAGCCAACTCACTGGAAAAGACCCTGATGCTTGGAAAGATTGAAGGCAGGAGGAAAGGGGGGCACAGGGGATGAGATGACTTGATGGCATCATCAATTCAATGGATATGAGTTTGAGCAAATTCCATAAAACAGTGAAGGCCAGGGAAGCCTGATGTGTTGTAGTCCATGGGGGTCACAAACAGCCGGACACAACTGAGTGACTGAATGACAAGTCCTAGAATACTTTCGGTGGGCTCTGGGGCATGGGAGCTGCCACTAGTTGTCTGGCAACTGGCCTTTGGGTGACTGGAGAAGGTAAATAGCGGCCCTATGTATAAAGGCTTGAAAAAGGAAGTGGTTGAGGGTATGAGCTCTGGTTGCTTTGTATACAAAAGGCACACTTTGTAAGAAAGCCCTTTACTATCTCTAGGAACTGACTATCCGTTAGAGGGACAGTCCCTCCAGGGTGAGCAAGGCCCCAGGAAGACAAAGGATCAAATACAGAAACTAGAAAAATGTGGCTATTATGACAAGGTCCAATAAAACTTCACATTTGGTGCTATCTGGAGCAGTTGATGAAGCTAAGGGAATACGAACACAAGTTCATTCTGTTTGGTTACTTATTTGTGGGACAAGCAAATATTGCAGCTGGAGGCAAAGCCCTGGATAATTATTTCCGCATCGCTGAGAGATGCAGAGTACCTTCTGGCTGAGGCTAACAGAGGAATGTCTCGAGTCTTCTACCTAAAGTCTGAAAAGTGCCTCTCCTGATGAATCTAACGTATGAAGCAAATGTGAAAATACTAAAGCTGTGACAGGAACCTGAGGTTCGAATAAACCGTCTGAGAGCTCATCAAGGTACTTCCCACGGCAGAGTTGGCTTGGCAGGCAGACTGGCGTGCTGACGGTTCTGGCCAGGGAAACGCCAGATTCTACATTCATTCAACATTCGAATGGTATGACTCGTTCTGGTCCTGTACCTGCTACACAATTGCTGGATAATCTGGCTTTCCATGTAGAATGCCCATGTGGATGAGAGGAAGTACCAGTTAGAAGGATGTGAACATTAAGTCTGCTGTGGTGGTTTAGTTGCTAAGTTATGTCCAACTCTTGTAACCCCATGGACTGTAGCCTGCCAGGCCCCTATGTCCATGGGATTCTCCAGGCAAGAATACTGGAGTGGGTTGCCATTTCCTTCTCCAGGGGATCTTCCAGTCTGCTGGGCAATTATATTAATAGTGGTCATTGAGAATTTACATATTTATACTCCTGCCTTTAAAAAAAATCTTTTAAAAGGGTGCCTTATATGAATTATAATTTAGAAACAGGTAAAAGAGTTGACACTATAAAGGAGACATTAACTGTGACACAGTGATATATAACTATGCAGGAGTAATATATGCCTCTTTGTTAGTGACATAGGGAAGAAAAACCAGTATTTTCATAAAGTTTAGGTAAGTCAGTAGCTATATCTTCCTAGTTGGTCCACCAAGATAGGAGTTTCCTTTTGAATAAACGACCTAGCACGAACATCATAGAATCTGAAAATCAACTTGACCATTACTGCAATAGACAGACCAGTGTTCTAAATGCCTCCTACCTCAAAGAGAGCTCAACTTTAAAAGTGCAGTGTCTTGCTGGGTCAATTAGAATAATTTCTGGCTGTTGCACAAAATGTTGGCAGAGAAAAAGAAAAGTTGCCATAAACTTTCCTGAACCCAAATCAGAATCTGCTTTCAAAAAGTCTTTTCCACTGGGAAGACCCAGAGGGATCGGGTGGAGAGGGAGGTGGGAGGGGGGACCGGGATGGGGAATCCATGTAAATCCATGGCTAATTCATTTCAATGTATGACAAAACCCACTGCAATGATGTAAAGTAATTAGCCTCCAACTAATAAAAATAAATGGAAAAAAAAAATAAAAAAAAAAAACAAAAAAAACCAAAATGATTTGGTGTTAAAAATAAATAAAAATAAAAGTTAAAATGCTGAAAAAAAAAAAAAAAGTCTTTTCCTTCTCAGCAGTAGCTTCAAAATCCTTCCAAGAATTTATAAAAGGGGGGAAAAAAGGAAGAAAAAAAGGAAGTGCAATACTGTACTAGGCATTAAAAGTTAAAATTTTAAAGCAAACCAAACAGGGACTGAGCTAAAATCTAAGAATATTCAACATAGCTGTAGTTTTTATGACATACAGGAGCAAGAAGTAAGTAGCCAGGCACTGTACATACGCACATAATATTGCTTGTTAATTAAATTACCAAAAGTCTTATCAGACTCTTTTTAGAAACTTAAAGTGCTTTGGATTGGATAAATCAAACCCATTCAATTTCTATCCTTTTTTTTTTTTCTTTTTTAAACTGAGGCTGCTCATTAAAGAGCTTTACAATTCCAGTGGGAAATCCTCAGATCTGCCAGGGCAAATCTGGTTTCGTGAGAACCCCAAACACTTCCTGTTACTGTCTTGTCAAGCCCAAACTATCTTCCAAGTTCATTAACAAAATATGTTCATTCTTGCAACATTTAATTGGTTGCTGGTTAAAAGAGAGAAGAGAGCGAGACACAATGAATATGTTAAAATATTTTCCTACCTTGTAGTCATATATTCAGCTCTATGACCTGCAGGAAAAAAAAAAAATAAGTCAACTGAATGGAATCAGTGGAATGCATTTGGTAATCTTTTATATCGTCTGTCCCTTGATTTATGATGCTGAGTTTATAATAACTCACACATTTTACGGTAGACAGCATATAAAGATAGACAAAAAATTCAAAGTAAGTATTTCATGAAATCTATACATAAAACAATAAATTCCATAGATTAAAGAAATGTTTCACTTAACAATTTGAGGCAGGGAGCTTTATTTTTTATTATTATTTTTTAAACAAGAAATAGCTGCTTGATCTTAACTGTAAGTTCAAAGATGAAATACAAATAAAACACAACCAAGATTTCAATGTTAGTTGTTCCCTCTGTCTTAACTGATAACTGTGAGAGAGAAGCCGGGGGTCATGCAGGGTTAGGAGAACTCAATTTCTTTTAAATTGGTGTTCTTTCGAGAATATGAAATCAGGCAGAGAAGTTGTACTTTACAATCAGAAATGACATTTGCATATATTAAAGTACAAGGACATTAAATGATGTTACAGTATATCAACTAGTAAGCTAAAAGCCTTTCACAGAATTCCCTGTCATTTAAAACACGAGGTTCTTATACATTCAGGCTTCTTGGTTTGTTTTAAGCAGCTCTCTTTTTGTGGTGCTCTAACAATCTGGAGAAGGAAATGGCAACCCACTCCAGTATTCTTGCCTGGAGAATCCCAAGAACGGAGGAGCCAGGTGGGCTACAGTCCACGGGGTCGCAAAGAGTCGGATATGACTGAGCGACTTCACTCAACAATTTCAGCTAATTTCAGGTCTGAATACATCTACGGTGGCTGCCTGTTCTTTCTTATATTTAGGGTGGAGTAGTGGGAAGGGGTGTGGGAGAGTTGAACCATTCAACTGGTCTGTTTGCAAAATGATGATACAGTCCTGAAAATGCTTGAAAACACAGCTGGCAGAGAAGCGCCATGTTGCAGTGCCAACAGGTGAGACCAGCCCATCAGATCACAATGCAGTGATTCAGGCTTGTAGCGCAAGGCCAGTACAACAATGATAGAGAGTGCTGGCTAGCTGTGAACTGTGAATGAATACTCCCAGGCTGCAATAGAATCTTTTACCCTATCATCTGCTTTTGAATAACAAGTAACCTAAAGTATTTGGTTAATATCTATTTACTAAATAGGAGGCACCAGCTCATATCAGAGCAAACCTTTCTCAACACAGATGCAGGCTACTGTAAATCTTGGTAGAATCTATCCTTGGCCAAGATTTGGGGTTGGGGAGCGGGAAAAAGAGATGAATCTGATTTTTTCCTCTATTACCCAGTTCTACCTATCATTTAACTATAAGTTCCTTCCTTTTGCTGGCTTTCTGCTACTTTAAAAATAAAAGACAGACACAGAACTCCAGAAGAATTTATAATAGTTATTCCTAAATGGATGGGAGAGAAGGTCTATGGGAAAGGGGAGAGAGCAGCCAGTGAGCTGAGCGTGATGTCCTGGGGACGGCCTTCAGCAGGAGGTTGACTGTATAGGGTTACTGTGCAGAGAGAAGACAGGGCTGGAGGTTAAGATTTAAGAGCTGTTACTCTTTAGACTGTGTTGGGACCATGAAAGCAAGCTGAGATCACCCAGAGTGAGTCAGTAGAATGAACAAAGGATTGAGGGCGGAGGAAATAGCTGACTTCTACAGTATTGTCATCTTGCATACTTTATTACAACCAAAAAGTATGACATAAAATACATGTATTAGTAACAACAATAAAAACAGCAATGATATCTAACATTTATTGACACTGTTCTAATCACTTTCTGTAGAGTAACACAATTTTTACAACTTTATGAAGTAGGTACTATAATGTTGCTAGACTGAGCCTCCAAGGTTGCTTGGTCAGCATGTGGTGGGTCTGGCACTAAAGCCCAGGTTTGTTTTAATTCTAGACCCAACCTCCCAAATATATTGTGAAATGTAAATCTTTTTCTCCCCAGCAAATACTGAGAAAAACCCTAGAAGACAGGTAGAGATATCAGTCTGCCTCATACGGATAAAGCCAAATACAAAATAATGAAGATTTAATAAATTAAATAAATTTTAAAACAACTTTAATATCTATCAAATTAAAGAGAACCACAGAGGTTAATAATTTCCAAGTCATTCAAAAAGATGCTAATGATAATTCCTTAGAAACTCAATGCTTTACAATGTTGAAATTTACTGAATAGTCTCTAGATTTAGAAAATGATCATATATAAAATGGCTTAAAATCATTTTGTTCTATCCATCCACGGTTAATAGTATTTGATAAAAAATTAAAAACCTATAAAAGATACATTTTGATTAATGAATCAAGAGCAAGCTTTGTGAGAACTATCATTCATAATATAAGCACACTACCACATTCATTGTTTTTTTTCTGCTAATAGTCCTCAGTGCGTCCTAACTGATGAATGAGGTTTTATTTTTTAATCAGTATCATCATTAACAGATCAATAACACACAAGCTTAGAAGAAATCTGCTTCCCAGAGAAATGTGAAAGCTTCCAGCGGTCTGAGGATTAGATTTCAATCACTTTCATTGGAAGGCTACTTAATTATTAAAAACAACAGACAACTCCTTCTTCTAGCCCAATACAAGCCATTTGGAGGAAAAAAAAAAAAATGACCGAAGATTATCTTGTTCTTGGTACAAACGGCTACTTTGACTACTTTTAAAATTTTACTTGAGAATTAGGAAGTGAATTATTTTTCAAGCCCAGATGTATTTTACGTCTATAGAGTTAAAGTGAAAACCAAAATATAATTTGGTGGCAATCTGAGTCCCCAAACTAGATAAAATATTTAAAACGCATGCAGCTCACACAGAAGGGAGGCATACTGGATTTTGTCCCTAATGAATGATTGATAAGGACTTGTGGCGTTACTTTCCAGCCCTTTATCTTCCTTAAAAATACCAACTATTGCAGTACTTTTCTAGGAAAAAAAAAAAAAAACTCTTCATAATCAGCTTTTCTTTCAAAAGTATGTTTGTACTTTGACTCAAAGACAAAGGAGTGAGTGATGATAGTCTATTTAATTCCTTTGTCAGAAACCTTATGTCCTGAGCTAAAAACAATATAACATGGAACTCAGTTTTTAGAGTTAGATTATCTATGTTTAGCAAAAATTACACTGATTTTTACAACCCTTTAACTCCAAATGCTTCGTGAATGTCCAAAATGCTCGAAGAAACCATGTGAACACCAAGGCTCATCACTAAAAAGGAACAAAATTTCTCTGCCTCAGTTTTACAGACATATAGCTCATTTTCCATGCTCGATTTAACTTCTATTTAAAAACAAAGACATCACAAAATGATATAATGGTGTTGCTGAAGGATGAAGATGACGAGGATGACGCCTTTGGCCTTAACTCATCGTGTGTTTTTTTTCTATTTCAGTTGTTTTCAAAGATTTGGAATTCTGAATTTTGACAGTGCCACTTTAAGAGCCCAATCTAGTTGCTCTGCAGTGTTGTAAATCAAAAGACTTACTGGGCCACTGGTAGCCTGCCAAAAGCGAGCAGGAAGACAGGCCAAACACATGTCCGTAGTTACAGTTTCAGCTGCGTACGATCAACTGCTAAATCCCCGAGTTAGGCTCTATTTGTTTTACTACGAAGGCAGCTTTTGCAGCAATGAGCCTAGTATAACTAAGAGATGTGGTTTCTATATAAAAACTCCAGACTGTCCCCAAACGTACTGTTTAATTCTGACCTGGTGACCTTAGTTAGCCAGCCCCAGAGTTGGAGACCTTCTTAAGTGCTCACCATTGGATAATCTCGCTGTGGGACAGGTGCCATGAACTTTCCTGGTCTCCCTTGGTGTAAACCTATTAATGTGAACAGGGCTTGCGTGGAAAGCTGAAGGGCTCACAAGAGCTAAAAGATGGGGCATGTCCTCCACGCTCAGTCTCTTGCTGGGCAAAGCTGCCAGCATCAAGCCCAGGCTGTGCCCAACAGCCTGTGTGCCGCCAAGTCTGCACGCGAGCAGGGCTGGGGAGCAGAGAGGTCTGCAGCCAGTGTCTGCTGGCCCGGATGAGAACAATCCAGTTTCTTGTGCAGAAAAAATTCGATTCAGTGAACATCTGGAATACCTGAACATAGCTTGTGTCACTAGGACACTGGAAACCACTGAAAGAAATTATAAGAGGAGAAATTCTGGCACAGAGTTCACCAGGTATGATATAGTTTCATACAGTTCAGCAGCTAAAGACAGAATCTGGCTAAAATATAGCCCTAGCCAATAATGGCATATAAAATCATATCAACCAGTGGGGCTTCCTCTCCAGGAGACAGGAGGGAAATCTATGTAGAATGAGTACCATAAAGGTTTCAGAACGTGATCAGAGTATTAACACATGTCTGCCTGCAGTGCCAAGAATGAATTTACCCATTAATTCTTTCTCTCCAATTCACAATTTCTTAAGTGGTGTCTCTAGTCCTGTAAGTATTCAGCTGCACTTAAGATAATTTAGGCTTTGGGACTGGCGATGACCTTGGGGCATCACCGAAATACAAGGCATTTGTGAAAAATGGAAAAAAAGAAAAAGACTTCACATATTATGAGGAGAAAAATGAGAAAAAGACATAATAGCTGAGGTAAGACAATTATTCAAAGAAAAAAAGGGCTTTTTCTTTTTTAAGGTTCAAACTTCTGTTACAGAAGAACTTTAAGACTGGTACAGAGAACATTCTTATACCTTCACATAGATTCCCAACTGATAACATTTCACAATAATGACTTTATTTCCTTCTCTCTTCCTCATTCTTACATATGTCTTTTTTCCTGAACCATCTGAAAGTAAGTTGCAGAATTAGGACACTTAGCAAGCATTTTCTTAATAATAAGGATGTTCTCCTTCATAAATTTATCATATCTAAGAAAATGCAAAATTCATTCAATAATATAATATAGTCTATATTTAAATTTCCCCAATTATCACTAAAGCATCTTTTATAACTTTTGATTTTTGATTCACAATCTAATGAATGTTCACACATTATATTTAGTTTCTTGATTTTTTGGTCACCTGATGTGAAGAGCTGATTCACTGGAAAAGCCCCTGATGCTGGGAAAGATTGAGGGCAGGAGGAGAAGGGGATGACAGAGGATGAGATGGTTGGATGGCATCACTGACTCAATGGACATAAGTTTGGACAAACTCTGGGAGATACTGGAAGGACAGGGAAGCCTGGCTTGCTGCAGTCCATTGGGCTGCAGAGTCAGACACGACTTAGCAACAATAATTTTTTAAGACACTTTTTAGTACTTTAAGTGTTGTTATTTTTTTTTCTAAGTAAAACTGGTGTTTTATCTTAGAGTCTGGCATTCTAACTGCAGTTTCAGGTTATGACAACCTTTCTACATGTGGACATTCCCTGAGGATAATGGGTCCTCTGGAGGAGACTAGGAGATAAGTTGATGGAAACACCTTGTTTTCTAGGCAGGAAAGTTCTAAAACTGTAGGAGGCAAGAGTTTAGGTCAACTCTTTTTAGCCTGAGTTGTTCACACAACTCACTCCCTGATTTCCCTCTCCCATCTGTATTGTCTTTCACTTTTTATAACTTCCAGCAAGATCTAGTGTGAAAAATAAGAATAAATGTGTTACAGACTGGTACTGAGGTACTTAGGACAGGGACCTGGTGGTTTTTTCTTCCCCTTTCTAAATTTCACAAAGATGAAAAAAGAAAAACATCTACATTATTTCCTTTGCTTGTAATCCTTTCTTTCTCTTCAGTTTTCCCATCTGTGAAAAACGGGGAAATTAATAGCGCTCAGTTAAATACACAGCTCAGAACAATGCCTGGCACACAGGGGGCTTTCTATAAGTGGTTGCTATTATTGTTCTTGTTTTTACTAGATATAGTAATAGAATTAAACTATTTCTCAACTAAGACCAATCTTACTGGAGCGGGGATGGGGGGATGCACCCAAACTGGTTTAACTGGTTTCTAGAGTCCAAAAAGGCGATAGATGGGACAACAAATACCAGCCCATTTAAACAGAAGGGGTAGGACTGGAAGGGTGGGGAAGTACCCCAGGAAAGGAAAAAGTGACTAGGGCAGAGGCGGCGGGCTGTCAGCAGGTGGGAACAGGCGCAGTTCCTTATGCTTCTGTACGCTTGGAAGCACTGGGGCTCTGAAGACCCTTCTTTGCAGCTCTGTGTTGGCTTTTCAGCCCTCCCTAGATTTCACTGTTCTGCCTCCATGTTACCATGCAGTTTATAAGGAAAATAATTTCGGAGAATTTCCTGGTGGTCCAGTGGTTAGCACTCTGCCCCCCTTACTGATGGGAGCCTGGGTTCCGTCCCTGCTTGGGGAACTAAATCCCATAAGTTGTTTAGTCACTCAGTCACGTCTGAGTCTTCTGCGACCACATGGACTCTAGCCCGCCAGGCTCCTCTGTCCGTGGGAGACAGGCTCCTCTTGTCCAGGCAAGAATACTGGAGTGGGTTGCCATTTCCTTCTCCAGGGGATCTTCCCGACCCAGGGATTGAATCCACGTCTCCTGCTTGGCAGGTAGAACCACTGAGCCACCTGGAAGTGTGGCACAGCCTCCAAAAGAAAAAAGGGTAAAAGGATATAGTTCCAGGGAACATTTGATTCTTACACAGATAAAGCCAAATCTAAACATATGCTGTTCTCTGCTTCTTCCAGCACAAATTCACGGTTCATATTCTTCATGGAACACATACACGACACAAGACATAATCCAGGTCATCTCCCCAACTATGTCAGATAACTGACCTTCTCCAAGCGTCCTCTGCAACAAGTCATGCTTGGCTTGAAGTTTTGTGATGAGATTACTACCTTCCAAATATTCTCTGAGTTTCTGCAAAAGGAAAGATACATTTTTAACTTTAAAAGAAACTATCTGATGTCAAGGAACTTCCCACAGGATATCTAAAAACCCAGCCATTGTTACCTTCTAGATCCTAGAATCTTGCTATGCAAAGTGTGGTTCTGATGCAGACTAGCGGCATCAGCCTGTTAGAGGTGTGAACTCTCAGTGCCCCCCACGCCAGGACTGCTGGGATCAGAACCTGCATTTTAACAAGCTCTCGTGGTGACGTGTATGTTCACGAGATCATTTTAAAGTTCTGTTTTAGAGCAGCCCTCTAACTTTGTCTGCACCATCTCCTAAACCGCATCCCAGAATGGCTGAATTGGGAGCTCTGGTGTTAATAAAGAACCCTAGACGGTTCCGATGCAATTCCAAAAGCAGAGCCGGGGGACCCCAGACTGGAGCCCCGGAGGCTGGGGGAGCAGCGGGCGTACCACGAAGTAGAACTGCTCCGTCTCCTGCTGATTGGCTCTCCTCTTGACGATGCTGGGCTTACTCAGATAGGTCTCAGAGACCGTGGACTTCACAGACTCTGTGGAGCGGCTGTGCTGGAAGCATTCAGAAACATCGTAGTCCTCGATAGTGACCATATCCTGTATTGTCTGCAGGGTGGCCTCGGTCGTTTTCTTAACCTGGGAATAGGAGTACATCTCTCCAGTGAGTACCTTATTTCATGAATCCCACACTCGGTGAGAAACCACTGTCAGTCAGAAATGGGGGCACAGGCCCTTCCGTCCAAAGCTCAGAGTCCACTGGGGGCACAGCAAGGAGATCAAACCAGTCCATCCTAAAGGAAATCAACCCTGATTATTCATTGAAAGGGCTGATGCTGAAACTCCAGTACTTTGGCCACCTGATGCAAAGAGCTGACTTACTGAAGACAACCCTGATGCTGGGCAAGATTGAGGGCAACGGGAGAAGGGGGCGACAGGATGAGATGGTTGGATGGCATCACCGACTCAATGGACATGAGTTTGAGCAGGCTTGGGGAGACGGTGAAGGACAGGGAAGCTGGTGTGCTGCAGCTCATGGGGTCTCAAAGAGTTGGACACAACTTAGCGAATGAACAATAACAGTGGAGAGAGACAGATAAACAATACCTCATGTCACAAATGCAAGGAGAGGCTTTCTTCAAAATTATCCTGAGGAGGACATCATTCATATACGAGTTCTTGTAAATCTCATGTATCACTGGGTACTCTCTCAGTTGCATTTTATTTTAAAGAACCTTCAGTTTAACTGAAGTGAAATTACACACAGAAAAATGCATAAACAGTAAGTATGGCTTTATGAATTATCACCCACTGAACACATTCATGGGAATACCACTCAGATAAAGAAATCTAGTACATTATGAGTACGCTGTGCTTCCCCCAATCACCACACATGCTTTTCTCTTCCCCAAAGGGAGCTACTAAGTACTATAGTATGTAGGATTTTTGTCTTGCTTCTTTCGCTCAACTTTATATAGTAAGATTTACTCATTTCTTGTGAGTATACTATTTCACTGCTGAATATTCATTGTAAGAATACATTACAATTCATCCCTTTTACTGTTGATAGATGACTTATTTCTGGTTTGGGGCCACTATGAATAATATTGCTATGAACACATTTTTGTTGGGCCACACATACTTGAGTAGACTTGCTGCTTATTGGGTATTCCAGACTGTTTTCCAAAGTTGTTATTCTCATTTGTATTCCCACCAACAGGAGGAGAATTCCTATTACTCCACATCCTCAACAACTGGTACTGTCAGTTTTAAAAAATTAAACCACTGTGTTGATGGAACTTCCCTGGCAGTTAAGTGGTTAAGATTCTGCACTTCCATGGCTGGGTGCATGGGTTTGTCCCTGGTTGGGGAACTAGGATCCCACATGCCTTGTGGCATGGCCGAAAGAAAAAACAAAAACCAAATAAATCATTACATTGGGTGTGTAACCGTATCACATTGTGGTTTTAATATGCATTTCTCTGACAGTTGAGATTGACCACATCATCACATGTTTAAGGCAATTTAGATTCTCTCTCTTGGACACAGTTTGTTTAAATCTCTTGCTCACTCTTATATTGGGTGATGAGCCTTTCTTATACTGATCTGTAACATGTATATGAGTTTTTTGTTAGCTGTATGTATTGCAAATATCTTTTCCTACTCTATACTGTGGCTTTTTACTCTCTGTACAGTAATTTAGATGAACAGTCTCTAGTTTTAATGTCATCAACTTACCAATCCTTTCCTTTGAAATCAGGGGTTTTTGTGTCCTATTTAAGAAATATTTTCCCATCTCATAAGTAGTCATAAGTAGCATACTATTTTATGCTATCTTCTGGGAACTTTTCAATTTATCTTCCGCAATTAGGCTGTATTCCACCTTTGCTTATCAGAATCTTTGTAAATTGATAACTTAATCCTTTTTCCAGACAATGTACAGGGTTTGTTGTTGTTGCTTAGTTGCTAAGTCATGTCTGACTGTCACTTTTATGACCCCATGGACTGTAGCCTGCTAGGCTCCTCTCCATGGGATTTCCTAGGCGAGAATACTGGAGTGGGTTGCCATTTCCTTCTCCAGAAGACCTTCCTGACCCAGGGACTGAACTCGTATCTCCTGCCTTGGCAGGTGGACTCTCCACCACTGAGCCACCAAGCCTGTGGAGAGTTTAGAGCATCTTAAAACCACTCACTTTTCCTGAATTATAGGCTTTTTTTGGGTAAAGTTTCATAACATGATATATATGTAAATATTTGTATACATTTATATATAAGACATTGTGATCTAGTCAGCATTCATTTAGCTTCATCCATATAATTATTACATTCTTTGGTTTCTATCTCTTACGTTTTTAAGAACACCTTTTAGAAATCCTTTTTTTAAAAAAAATATATAGTTGACTTACAATATTATGTTAGTTTCAGGTGTTCAGCAAAGTAATTCAGTTATACACACACACACACACACACAGAGTTTTTTTATTCTTTTCCATTATAGGTTATTGCAAGATATTAAATATAGTTCTCTGTGCTATATACAGTAAATTCTCATTGCTACATCTGTATCACAATAAGGAGAGGGAGTGACAGAAGAAGAGATGGTTGGATGGGATCATCAACTCAACGGACATGAGTTTCAGCAAGCTTCGGGAAATGGTGAAGGACAGGGAAGCCTGGTGTACTGCTGTCCATGGGGTCACAAACAGACAAAACTTAGTGACTGAATGACAAATATCTATTTATATACAGTAATGTGTATCTGTTAATCCCATACTCCTAATTTACCCTCTTCTTTCCCTCTGGTAACCATAAATTTGTTTTCTATTTAGAAATTCTTTTTAGCATGAATCTGCTGGCAGTGAACTCAGTCTTTATTGATTTAAAAATGTCTTTTATTTCACCTTCAATTCAGAATGATATCTTTTTTCCCCTGGTGGGCAGTTACTTTCTTTTAGTACATTTAAGATATCACTGTATTTTCTTGTGGCTTCCATGTTCCTGTTGAGAAGTTTACTGTCAGTTTATCATACTTTAAAAGAACTCTGCTTGCTTTCTTCAGCTGCTTTTAAAGTTTTTTTTACAGTTTAACTATAATGTGTCTAGGTAAGGATTTTAAAAACATATATTCAGGCTTCTTGAATTGTGTGGTATTTTTCTTAAGCTCTGATAAAACTTCAGATAAAATTATCTTTGCAAATGTCAACTCTACTTTCTTCTCTATCATTTTTTTCTGGGAGTTTAATTATGTCCTCTGTAGCTTACCATTCTCTTCATATTTTCTATCCTTTTGCTTTTCCATCATGCATTTTGATTACTTTCTTCTAATTTGTCTTTCATTTTGATAATTCATTCTTCAGGTGTGTCTAATCTGATGTTAAAACCATGCATCAATTTATTAATTTGGGTTTTTCTGTATTTTGGTATTTCTATACTTTAGTATTTCTATATTTCTCAACTCTAGAATTTCTGTGTGGTTCATTTTCAAATTTATTTCACTGTTTGTAGGTTATAATAGTGCCCTGCTGAAATCTAAGCTTGGCTTTTATCTCCTTAAACACAGTAAAGAGATCTTTTACAGTTTGTTTCTGATAATTTGTTTCTATTGTCTACTATGTCTTCTGGCTACCACTCATGACCTCATTAGGTACATGACTTATGTACCTAATTATCTTTGCTGGACATTTTTTGTAGAATTATTTGAGCTCTAAGGTGAGATTATCATCCTGAGAGAATATTTGTTGATTTTTCCAAGTCATTAGGGCACTAATAGTTCAGAATCACTAGATTTTATTTCTGTTCAAAATAATCTGATGCTCTTCCTTTTGGGAACGTATGGTTCCTTACGTCATGGATTTCAGGCTTAGCCATGTATCTTGCCCTGGATAGTGAAATGTTGAAAGAATCAGCTGAGTGACTCAGTCCATCACTACAGAATGTAGATATATGTTCAATTTTTAAACAGTATGTTTAGTGCAATATGTTTTTGAAATATGTTCAACTTTTTGTTGTTTATTTGAACAAGAGAATATTGTTTAGAGAAGGAACACTAGCTATCAGTGCTGGTTCAGAGGCTTGGAGAGGTCATGTGACAAAGAAAATTTTAAAAGGAGGCAAAAACTTAACAGACTTAGTCATTATTCTGAGGATATGCACAATGCAAAGGACACTGGGAAAAAAGCATACTAATGATGATTTTTAAAATGACATTAGAAGTAGTTACTTTAAGTCATGATTATATATCTATATGCTGAAGGAGAAGACTCACCATCTTGTAGGTGATGTCAGTGAGATGGCAGAATAAGAGGTGTGCTATTCACATACCCCCACAGTAACAATACTTTGGCAGCCATCCATGGACAAAATGACTTTGTGGGAGCTTTGGGGTCTAGGTGGGCACTTGTAAAACCTCACTGGAGCCCACAGCTGATGAGGACCGATATGAGAAAGCTGTTGGCAGGCTTGCCAACCTTGGTCCTGGCAACAGGACCTGGAAATAGCTCTGTGCCCTTGTGGACTCAGCTACAATCCTGTTTGGCATTGGTCCTGCCACCAGCACTATCTGCCAAGGGACCCAGGAGGGGTCAAGCCCACCTGTGCCCCAAATAACCTTGCTGATCTTGGCCTTAGCTGTGGACCCTAGAACAGCTCATGATGCAGGTGCGGTTCTCCTCCCAGCCTCGGTCTGAGAGCAGTCCTATTGCCCAGGGACCTGCCGAGAGGCACACTTTGTTTACTGGGAGCAGGCCCGCCAACCTCAGTGCAACTGTGAATAATACAGTAGCCCTGTAACTTGGATCCAATACCTCTTAGCAATGGCCTATGAATAATTATAGCCACCCTGCGGACTCAACAAGAAATAAGCCCATCTGTGTTTCCAGGGGCAGGCCCACCGAACTTCAAAGTCCAACTTTGGATCTTGAAGCAGCCTTGTACCTTGAATGCAGTTCCTCTCAGTAGTGATCCAAGAGCAGTCCTGCCTACCTAGGGACCAGGAGGGGGACACGCTCATCTGTGCCCCCAGAGGCTGGCCTGCATGCAGGCCTTGGTGCCAGCTGCGGACCCTATAATAGCAGACTTGTGACTCAGATCTAGCGATGCTCCGCTGCAGGCTGGGGCCAGCCCTGCCCTCCAAGGATCTG